GGCAAAGTGCTTGCCTAGCAAGTGCAACGTCCTGGGTTCAATCCCCAGTACTAAAAAAAGAAAAGAAAAGAAAATAGCGTAATTTCCATTCCAAATCAAGAAAATGAAAATTCTCTTCCTCTAGGAAGCAAGTATTGATATATAATATATACCTGGACAAGAAATGCTTCCGAGTCCCTTGGCGTTCCTTTAATTCCTAGGAGAGTAGAGAAAATCACTTTGATGTTGAAATCTTCTCCCACTTCCACAGCAAGTCCTTTTTGCTTTTCAGCAGCAACAAATGCACTCAGAAGTCTAGAATACTCTTTGAGATTAGTATAGGAGAATTTATACAGTGGGGTTAAACTATACAAAGTCCATTGTTTATGCAAAAGGAATGCAAGCTTATGAGGATCAATAGTTTCCTAAAATAAAAGAAAAAAAACACTTAATTTTTTTAATCATAGCACTTTAATTATTTAATATATTATTGGACTTTTGATCTTTACATGCCAAAGATCTAACCTCTGAATTGAGTGCATACTTTCTTACATAACCTCACAGCTCCAACTATCTTTTGCAACTTTCACTGTAGTCGTCTAATCCAAGAAAGATGGTGGGGGCTGGGAATGTGGCTTGATGGTAGAGTGCTTACCTAGCATGCATGAAGCCCTGGGTTAAATTCCTTGGTACCACATAAATGGAAAAAGCCAGAAATGGTGCTGTGGCTCAAGATGGTGGATCAGCTACAGTGTATTCATTAAAACAACAACAATTTTTACTTAATCTTTTTTTTTTTTGGCTGGTCATGGGGCCTGAACTCAGGGCCTGGGTGCTGTCCCTCAGCTCTTCAGCTCAAGGCTAGCACTCTACCACTTGAGCCACAGCGCCACTTCCGGCCTTTTCTGCTTATGTGGTGCTGAGTAATGGAACCCAGTGCCTCATGCATGCAAGGCAAGCGCTCTACCACTGAGCCACCTTCCCAGCCCCTAAAATTCTTATCTCCAATTAACCACCAAAAAGCTGGAAGAGGAGTTGTGGTTCAAGTGGTAGAGCACTAGTTGAGCAAAAAGAACTCAGGGACAATGCTTAGGCCCTGAATTTAAGGTAAAAAAAAATACTATAAATATAACAAAATTAAAGTACTTTGTTCAGATTGTCTCATTTATTGACTTAGGGATATAAATCATACCTGTAATTGTGAACACTCAGGAACTTTCCTACGTGGTGTGGTCTGAACTAAGGAAGTTTGCTTCCTGACAGATTCCAATCGTTTCTGCCAAGGGGTGGAAGCTAAAAAGTAATCTTTAAGATTTGAGGAGGCATTTTGTCTAGGAGTTGATTCTGGTGAATCACAAGGCTCCATGGTCTACATAAAAAAAAAAAAAAAAAAAAAAAAAAAAAAAAACCTTAAATACATTGATGTAGTTTCTCACTTTCATTTTTTAACATGTAGTCTAAGCATTCTACTAAATTTTTTTCTTTCCACAGCTTGTCATCCATTCTGAGATTTAATGTTTTCATTAGCACAATTAAGTTTTCCATATCTGAAAGTAAACCATTGTTCCAAAAATGGTACTATACTGTTAGCTATTTGACATAAATGATGTTTCTGTAAAGCTTTTGCCATTCCAGTGACAAATCCTAAACTCTCTTGTTAGATATTTCATAATTCAGGTTTTTTATACTCCTAATTTTCATCACCAATCTACTACATAAACATACTTATATTTCCATGCTTCTGCTTATCAATAGCTTTCCTATCTGAAGTGACTATTTCCCATTATACTTCTGCCAAGACCATGATTAAGTCAGACCTCCTTTCTAATGGGCAAATTCAAACAGTAGTTTAAAAAAAAAAACAGCAACAAAAAAATCTATCCTGTTATATACTTCTACCTATATCCATGGCTTGTGCATACAATGATACCTCATCTCTAGATGAGCCCAACAAAATTGGGCTTCTACCAAACAGCTCATTGGAAGGTGTGAGCAGTATTTCCTTGGGAGAGATAAATTGCTTGGAGATGGCACCTAGGCCAAGGTGCCAGCATGGTGCAGTAGTAAATGCCCTGACATCAATTCCTTCTCCACTGACTTCAGCAACTTCCAAGTTTCACTGGGATTTTCAAACTCCACAGATGTATAGCCTCTGGATGCATCCTTTCAATACATTTAAATTTTCTCACAGGTATAAAATATCTCCATGATATGATCCTTGTCACATTTCTATTAAGCCCCCCCAGGATACACTTCAGTAGGTGTAGACTAACAGCTATGCATTCCTATCCTTTTCCTTGCTTTGAGGTAGAACGTAAGTACCACCTCATGTTATGTCTAGCGCAGTGACTTAGAAAGCTGGAGGAGTGGCTAGAGCTGGAGTTGTGGGGGTATTCTGATACTTCTGAGTGCCTGAATGAGGGGGAGGACCTGGAGAGGCTGGGCTGGGGTAGAAGTGGAAGTCACACGGAACCCAGGGTTGGTGTTGCTGTTACACTGAAAGAGCTGCACCTCTTTTGAGTCTTATCCTTGCTGTAATTTTGGTGGGCTTAGAAATATCCTTGAACGTCTCATCAGAGCAGTCTTTGTGTTTGGTGAAAAGAGTCCTATTCTTTTTATGATTTTGACTCCTTCTAAGCTTTTCCTTTTGTTTAAAAGAGCAATGGTCCCCTGGTGTAAACTCTCCCTTTTAAAACTCAATTCTGAGAGAGAGAGAGAAAAAAGAAATTCCTAATAAATTCCAACTAACACCAGAGTCACATCCTCCTGCTATTACCAAATCCTCCCACTCTCCTCAGCTACTGAGTTACTACATGATTTAAATAACCACTGGATGTTAAACCCAAAACATAAGGTGATACGACAAAATTAACAAGGCTTAAGAGAAAAAGGACTTCCACTCATCTGGTCAAATCACTACTAAATAACCCCATGCTGCTAATCACATATATGGTATACATGTGCACACTAGACGGAAACGAGGAGGAGGGCACAGAACTAGAGGGAATCAGGGAAAAACATACAACAGTGGGACCCATCAGCAGCACTGGACATTGACCAAAATGAATGAAGCAACTCAATGACAACGATGGGAGGGAGGGAATGAGTGGGAAAGAGGGAACAGCTGATGCTATGCAAAATAAAAGAAATGTACATATCGAGCTGGGATGTAGCTCGGTGGCAAAGTGCTTGCCTAGCAAGTGCAACGTCCTGGGTTCGATCCCCAGTACCAAAAAAGAAAAAAAAAAAAAAGACAAAAAATTACAGTTTAAAAAATGTACATATCACCCAATGTGGAAGAAATAACTGTATTGTCAAAGCTCACAAAACTCATAAATGTTATAGACCTCGATAATTTGCCCCATGAAAGTTAAAATGTGTTTGTGACTTTAACTAAGTATCACTATCCCACAATACTGTGAAATTTGGGAAATTATGTAATCACAATCACAATAAGAATTTTTTTAAGTAAATAAATAACAACCACTGGGCCTGTAACCCCAGCACCGGGGAAGGTGAGACAGGAGGATCATGAACTCTGTCAATGAATAAGTAAACAAGCAAACTAAAGTAGCATTTACACTAAAGCATTAGCCTTTAAAGACACATTTAATTACCTATTTAAAAGGATATATTAATCTGCTTCATTTGCACAGAATGTTTCTTCCAAGTCTGTTACTTGGGACGAAACCTGTTAAGCATTCACCATGTTCCAGATGCTTTTCTAAGCCCTTAGTAAATATTGTCTCATTTAATCCTCAAACAACTTCCTTAGGGTTGGTTACCACGTTCCCGGCTGACAGATAAGAACGAGACAAATTTCCCTTCCCCTCGCTCCCCTCGGGAACTCCTCTTGCACTAACAGTTCATTGCACACAATTCAGACCCCGCTGTTTCTCTCCCGTGGTTAGTCCGTGAGGAAAGTGATCGCTTCACTCTGATTGCCAATACCTACACCCGGGGGCCCAGTGCCAGCGCTCAACCGCGCTTGCGCATCCTCGGTGCGCCAGGGCCGAGCCAGGCCGGAAGCGACGCAGAGCATCTCACCAACCGAGGGCCGGGACGACGCGGTCGCCCATTCTAGGTCCACGACTCATTCTCTTCAGGTCGGCTCCAAGACGACATCGAGACCCAGGCTCCCTGCGTTAAATAAAAAGAAAAGGGTCGCCCCAATGACCGCGGTGAGAGAAGCTGGAGTGTTCCCGCGCGCCCGGCCGGCGGACACCCGCACCCGCCAGCGCGGAGGCCGCGGCTCCCCGGCCCCGCGCCACGCCCGCGCGCCGGGCGGGCCTTCCCGCTCACCTGACGGCTCCTCAAAGACGGGTCTTCTGCTCACCGAGGGGAAAGGCAAAGCACAAGGCGCCCTCCCTCCACCGAGCCTGCGGCCCCCAAGGACCCTGGTGAAACCAGCCCCGCCAGACGCCCGTTCAACCAACGCCTTAGCGCCCACCTCAGTTTAAAATCATCTCCCGACTGGCTCGGCGGCCCCAAACCGGAAGTCAGCTCTCAGTCCCCGCCCTCCCCTTTCCTGCCGGTGAAGCAACTGCGGTTGCCATTGTAACTGAGGGCAAGGCCGAGCCCCTCGCTCGCGCCAACACTCCCAACCGCGAGGCGTCGCTCTCTCCGCTTTTAACCGGTGCGAAGCTTTCCCTCAAATTTCCGCCCGTCGTAAGCATGGCGGCGGCACCTTCGCTCTGATTGGGCGAATGCATTTACCGTCATCTTGGGCGCTGGCGGGGCGGTAAGAGGAACGACCGAATTCCATGTGCCGCGCGAGTGTGTCTGTGTGCGTGCGTGCGTGCAGGTTCGGGGTCGAGCGTGTTTTCGATTTGCTCCTCTTCGTCTTCCAGAACCTGAGTTCGGGCGCCCGGTTCGGAAGGGTCGGAAGCGCGGCCGCTCCTCCTCGTTTCCTGGTCGTGCCGGCGTGAACCTTGGGGAACTTGCGTGGGGCGGAGGCCGGGCGCGCGCGCGGGCAGCGGCCCCGCGCCCTGGCGTGGCCGTGGGGTCGCGCCCCGAGCTGCCCTTTGCAGTTCCTGTCTTCACTGGGTGGTGGAAGCGGATCCTGTCTTCACTTTGTGCTCGCGGGGCGCGAACTCGAGTGTCCGGAGCTTGGGCGAGCTGAGGCGTGGCCACCGCGCAGCCCCGCCGCGGGAGCGCGGGCCTCGCCTCTCGCGACTCGGGACGCAGCATGCACCTCGGCGCCTGGTTAGGTCAGCTGTGCCGGGGTCTGTCCCGGCCCGTCGGACGGACCCCCCAGCTCGTCCGCGGGTCTCTGTCCAGAAGGCTGGTGCTGAGCTCCCGCAGGAGAATTCCAGGTGAAAACAGCCAAGACCTCCACAGCGTCCCCGGCCTACACTGCGTGGCCTTATGTGTAACACACCATTCGCTCTTTAGGAACAAGCGTTGCTATTGTAAAGGTGATGCACAGAGAGGTAACCGTGTCGGGAAAACTGAGCTGGTGGCTCGCGCCTGTCAGTCCTAGCTACTCTGGAGGCTGAGGTCGGAAGATCGCAGTTCAAAGCCAGCCGCTCCCAGAGGCTCTTCTCCAACTCTCCACCAGAAAACCGGAGGTGGCGCTGTGATTCAGTGTAGTCAAGCGCCAGCTTTGAGGAGAAGAGCTCAGGGACAGAGGCCAGGCCCCGAGTTCAGGCCCCATGACCCACTAAAAGAACAGCCACAAAAGCGCACTTCTTTTTTGGACAATGTCACCCCTCCTTTCGCTCTCCCAGTTTTTCCTCCTCATTTACTCTAAATTCCTTATAATACAGGGCATTTTATTCCTCCTGAATTAAAAAACAACAAAAGAAGATAGCCACATAGAAAAGATACTCCCCATTTAGTTGATGCCCCTAATAGCCTAAAACATCGTTTCACACTTACTGGATGTTTAGTTTCCAAGTGATTATACACTGGATTTGTACTAATACTGAGCAGTTTACTCCACCATCATTCCAAAATCCTTAAGAGTGAAAGACATTGTTATTACATGGTCTGTCTTACTGTGTAGCATCCATTGACCTGAAATGCCCAAGCTATTGGAGAATCTATTTTTGCACAATCTTCAGGTAATATATTTTTGAATCTTGCATCTTAAACTTTTTCTTCTTTTTCTGCTTTTTTTCCTTAAGAATTCAATAGCTTTGTTTCCCGGACCAACACTTGTGGAGAGTTGCGTTCTTCTCACTTAGGTCAAGAAGTCACCTTATGTGGATGGATTCAGTACCGAAGGTAAATTGAGGCACGCAGTTTAAGGATTCACAGTGGTCATTTCCCAAAGCATTTCCAAGCCTTTACTAATTTTTAAACAGTCAGAAGAATAAAAAGCTTTTCAACTCCTTCAAGACTCTCAATGGTCACTGAGTTTTTAGTGCTGTTTTTGTTTAGAAAGATCCAAATAATATAATGCTCAGTAAGTACTAATAATATCTACTAAGTTGTATAGTAACGTTTCTTGATCAATCAGTGGACTAAAATGACCTTGGGTTAACTTCAAAGAATTCTTATGACAATCCTAGTACCATAAAAACAGCAAGAAAAAAACAAAAGCCACCCAACACCTTATAAGCTGGTTGGGAAGTTCCAAAAGAGCTATTTCAGTCTAAATTCAGGAAGGGTAAATCCTAAACAATGAACAGTGATGCCTTAAGAGCACAGTTTATTTTTGGACTGTGCACTGTTGTGCATTGCTCTGTATTCTAGATAAAATCTGAGTAATACATTAATTCATATTGAAAAGATACAAAATATATGAATTATGTGACCTTAAAACATGTATCCATGTGGGTAGATATTTGCCCAGACATAGATGACTTTGTCTCCTGCTTTCTGTCCCTCTTTCTCGTATTAAAGGCAGTATGAGAAATACATGAATACAGGGTTTCATGCATGCTAGGCAAGCACTGTACCACTAAGCCACATCCCAGCCCTCCCCCCCCTTTTTTTAAGAAGAGACTTGTTGAATTTCAGAAACAATCAGATGTTTCTGATATCTTGAAGTATTTTTGGGGGGTTTTACTGTAAGTTTCCAGATTTAATAAATGTTTCTTTTAAAGACAACTAAGTGACATTTAAAATTTTTAAATCTACTTTTATTAATAAGGCATCTATAATAGATTAGAAAATTATATAAGTGGCCAATGATAATTAAAATTTAAAAAGCAATTTGATAAGGCATAGTATAGTAGGGCATGTGTATGCTGTAGACCCAGTCTCAGCTACTTGGGAAGTTGAGGCAAAAGGGTGGCAAGTTCAAAGCCAGCTGGGGAAAAATAGTCTGTCTCAAAAAGGTACCAGTAACTCAAGTCTATAAACTCTGGCTACCTCTGATCTGAGGATCAAGGTTCAAAGCCAGCCCATGCAGACAGATCCACGGAACTGTTACCTCCACCCAACCAGCAAAAAGCCAGAACTGGAGGCCTGGCTCAATGATAGAACACTTAGCAAAAGTTTGAGGCCATGAGTTCAAGCCCCAGTACCAGCACAAATATGCAGAATGTATGAATGTAGCTAATGGAAGAATATGTCTTTTTTTTTTTAAGAAAGAAATTGCATACAGTTTTTCCTTACTGGTTTTCTCTGCTTAAATTTTGGGCTCAGCAACAATCCTAAAATACTCATTTTTTTCATTAATCAGGCAGAACATCTTCCTAGTCCTCAGAGATTTCCACGGTCTGGTTCAAGTTATCATCCCTCAAGATGAGGTAATAAAAAAATTTCCTACTATGGCAAGTCCTTTGTGCAACTACCTAAAAATAATTTTAAAAAATATTCCTGCCATTATCTAAAAGCTGACTTGACGATAGGGGTAGGGTAAGCTCAGCAGTTTGATAAGAATGTTTAAGGGTTTGCAGGGTTTTTTGAAGCTATCTTGTTATGTGTCCTAAGCTGGTTTAGAGCTCACTGCATAGCCCAGACTAGACTTGAACTTGTGATGCTCTTGCCTCAACATCCCCAGTGCACATCACACCTCAGCTTCAGACTCTAAATGTAGCAGTTTAGTGCTCATGCAAACTGAAAACTATTAAAAACATTCATGCATGACATACCAAAAAAAATTACGTGGGCTGGGAAGGTGGCTCAGTGGTAGAGCGCTTGTCTTGCATGCCTGAGGCCCTGGGTTCCATTCCCAGCACCACATAAGCAAAAAGAAAAAAGCCGGAAGTGGCGCTGTGGCTCAAGTGGTAGAGCGCTAGCCTTGAGCTGAAGAGCTGAGGGACAGCGCCCAGGCCCAGAGTTCAGGCCCCACGACCGGACCCAAAAAAAACCAAAAAAACAAACAAAAAAATTACGTGCAATTCATATCATAGGGCTAATTTTACTAATATCTGAAAAGCTACTAAAAATGAGTGAAGAGCCAGTAGAGTTATGAACCCACAATATGAACATAAAAGTTACAAAAAAGTGGCCAAGTGTGGTGTGGATGTAGCAAGCCAATATTCCCAGGCTGTATAACAAGACCCCTCTCTCTTAAAAAGAAATTATAGCAAAGAAAATACAAAAAGTGTGTACCCACAGTATATTCGGTCAAACTCAGAGAAATGTGATGTTTTTTTGTTTTTTGCACATTAGGTTGACAACACACTGTATTTTGGGGAAATGGGAACTCTCTATTCCTGGAAGAAGTACAAATTGTTACTAGCAGTATAAAGAGCAATTTGATGACAGCAAGTTACAATTTTAGGAACTTGAAGTATGGCTCAAGTGATAAGACTGACAATCATGAGCAGCATAGCTGAATAAGAACAAAAAGGCCCTGAGTTCAAGCCCAGGTCTGGCGCGCGCGCGCGCACACACACACACACACACACACACACACACACACACACACACACAGAGAGAGAGAGAGGAAAAAGGTCTCTGGAAGGATACCTAACTATTAAGGATACCTAACTTAAGGATACCTAACTATTAAGGAATTAAGGATAGAAGGAAAATAATTTCCAATATAATGTCTTGTGAGTATCATTGTTGTAATGGGTCATCCTGTGTCCTTGTTTCAGCATTTTGTTATTCCCCTACCCCTCCCCAAATTAGATAAATGTGTATATAAGATGTAAGGTACTAAAATCAAATACAGTGACATTGGAGAAAGAACATACAAAAGAAACAAAAAAATCACATAGTACATTAAAAACAACAACAACAAAGAAAACCTTTTCTGTCCATATCTTGGGGTTAATTTAGCTTGGCATCTTCATTTATGCTCATCTGATAAGATTATCTTAGACATATATATATATATATATATATATATATATATATATATAGTAATTATTGCAAGTAAGGCAATTTCCTCTCCTTTTCTTTTTCTTTTTGTTGTTGTTGTTATTGTTGGTCTTGGGGCTCGAACTCTGGGCCTAGACACTGTCCTGAGCTTTTCAGCTCAAGGCAAGCACTCTACCACTTGAGCCACAGCGCCACTTCTGGTTTTCTGGTGGTTAATTGAAGATAAGAGTCTCACGGGCTTTCCTGCCCAGGCTGGCTTTGAACCGTGATGCTTAGATCTCAGCCTCCTGAGTAGCTAGGATTACAGGCATGAGCCACCAGCACCTGACCCTCATATTCTTTTAAGGAAGTTCTTTTAAATTCTTAACTGAAACTGGGTGTGGTGAGTGCACATCTATAATCCTAGTGCTCAGTAAAGCAGGAGATCATGAGTTTGAGGCCAGCCTGGACTACATAACAAGACTGTGTCTCAGAAAGAAAGAATGGGAAGGAAAGAAGAAAGAAGACTCCTAATTGATAGCTTCCCTTGCCATATTATATGTTGTCAAAATGGGAGAGGGGGTAGAATGACCAGGTTCTGTTAAAAAAAAAAAACTGAGCCTCAATATTATGGCAAATAAGCTGTAACTATTAATGTTTTTCTAAATCATAGATTTTGAATTACTGAGAGATCCTACTGTAAAAGTTCATTTGATTCTTGAAACCATTTTCCTTATTCTGTAGTCATCTGCCTCTGTGAAGAAGATTTTATGTGAAGCCCCTTTGGAATCCGTGGTGAAAGTGTCTGGGACTGTCATTTCTCGACCTCCAGGACAAGAGAATCCAGTTAGTTGTTTACATATTGTATTTTTTTTTCCTTTGTCGGTTTTGGGGCTTGAATTCTAGGCCTGGGCACTGTCCCTCAGCTCTTCAGTTCAAAGCTAGTGTTCTACCACTTGAGACACGTCGCACTTCCAGTTTTCTGAGTGGATTATTGGAGATGAGTCTCATGGAGTTTCTTGCCCAGGCTGGCTTTAAACCTCGATCCTAAGATCTCAGCTTCCTGAGTAGCTAGGATTACGTGTGTGAGCCACCGGCACCCAGCTTGTATAAATTTTTATTTGTATGCATTTGTAATGTCTGTGCACATATTCAGACAACATAGATTGAGCACCTTTTGGACACTGGGCTATAAAGCTGAGTAAGTCTACAAATGAACTTAAAATCTGTATTATAAACATACCGATGTGTAATGTGCATGCTAAGACATTTGATGTTGACAAATGCATGATGTATCTGGCTGATTTCTCATAAGACTTTTATGCTTTATGTCAAAAATATCAAAAAACATTCACAGTTTTGTTGTTGTTGGTCATAGGGCTTGAACTCGCGGCCTGGGTGTTGTTTCTGAGCTCTTTAGCTCAAGGCAAGTGAGTGCTCTACCCCTTGAGCCACAGCACTACTTCTGAATTTCTAAGTGGTAAATTGGAGATAAAGAGTCTCACAGACTTTCCTGCCCAGGCTGGCTTTGAATCTCGTGATCCTCAGATCTCAGCCTCCTGAGTAGCTAGGATAACAGGCGTGAGCCACCAGCACCCGGCAATAGTCACAATTTTTATACCATACTACACATGTACCATCTATACACTTTACATATGTAAATAAATGGCATGTATTTTACAATGTGCATTGCTCATGGGTCCTGAAAGTGATTTCTAAAATGGGTCTTTTCTGTTTTTCTCTAAGACAATGCCAACTGGTGAGATTGAAATAAAAGTTAAAACAGCTGAACTTCTGAATGCCTGCAAGAAGCTGCCCTTTGAAATGAAAGACTTTGTGAAGGTGCCCTCTTATTGCCTAGAAAATGATAACGACAGTATTTTCAGAATTCCTTAAAGATAAAGTTTAACTTCTATAAAATTAAACATTTTGTTGTAGATGTATCATGAATTGTTCTATTCTACAATTTCTTTTTTTTATAATATATATTTTTATGCTAAAGATACTGTACAGAGGGGTTACAGTTACATGAGTAAGGTAATGAATCCATTTCCTTCTACGATTTCTTGATGAATTCTTCCAAAATAACGACAATTTATTAAGTAAATAAGAGTACGTATACAAGTCAGATGGTGGCTCATGCCTGTAATCTTAACTACTCAGGAAACAGTCCTTGAGGATCATAGTTCAAAATCAGTCCAGGCAGATAAGTCTACAAGACATCTCCAATTAATCAGCAAAATGCCACATTAAAGGCTTGGCTCAAGTGGTAGAGTGCTAGCAACGAAGCAAGAAAGCTGAGCAAGAACATGAAGTCCTGAAGTTAAGCCCATATACTCCCTCCCACTTCAAAAAAAGACTCCATCAACCACTACCATATTTTTTCAACAAGTTGAAATGTGATTCTGTCTTAAGACTTGACAGGTTGTGTTATTTTTTGTTGCTATTGTCTAACATTTTGGAAGGAAGTACTTACAAAAAGCAATGTAATTATAGAATTGACCGTACTATTGAAAGGAAAATGTGTAGTTTTCCCAAGATAAGCATTCAGAAAGAAAAGAAGGTATTTCTTACTTATTTTGTTTTTAATAACAAAGAAATAAGGCATTCCAGGGAAGAGTGTTTTTTTTTTTCCCTAAGTTCCCAGCACAAAGCGGCATGCTGTGATTTGCAGCCTTAAAAATAATAAGACACACTATATTCCCAGTAGTATAACAGTAGAGATTCCATCTGCCATCTCTTGCATTGCCTGCACTTGTGGTGAATGTCTCATTCAGGTGATAAAACTGTAGCTATTTCTTACTAAGGTGTATTTTCTTAAACTATCTTTGAAATCTTGACTTTTTTGCTTGTCCTGGGGCTTGAACTCAGGGCATGGGTGCTATCTCTGAGCTTTGTGCTCAAGGCTAGTACCCTACCACTTGAGCCACAGCTCCATTTTGGCTTTTTAAAAATAAGAATCTCACCTATCTTCTTTCCTGGGCTGGCTTTAAATCAAGATCCCCTGAGCTCAGCCTCCTGAGTATCTAGGATTATAGGAATGAGTCACCTTCACCCAGCCTGAAATCTTTAATTTTTTTTCAGTCAATTATGGGCTTACATGAATGGATAAGTGTTTAATAAAATAAGCAAATTTTAAACAGGAAGGAGTGATGTTAATAATAATGAATAGCAAAACAATATGTCAAATCTGTATGATAACCAACTTAGAGACTAAGTAAGAATTGAGGGCTAGGAATGTAGCTCATGGTACAGAGAGCACTTACTAGACTCTGGGTTTAACCCCCAGCACTGCTCCCTACCTCTCCAAAAAAATGTATTGGAATTAAGGATGGCAGTGTTTAAACAAATGGGGACTAGCATGTCGATAGGCTATTTGATGCTAAAATTTAAGATGGAGCTAGAGTTTTCTAAAATTCAAAATATTTAAAGACAATACTTTTTGAACATTCATAAACCTTGATTTGTTTAGAAAACAGAGGCTCTTCGCTTGCAGTATCGGTACTTGGATTTGCGCAGCTCCCAAATGCAGTACAATCTGAGATTGAGGTCTGAGGTGGTTATGAAAATGCGGGAGTATCTCTGTAATCTGCATGGTAAGGAAAAATGGAATATCCTTTTATTTTAACATCTCATGATTTATTCACCAGCTTTATTTATTTATCTATTTATTTTGGTCGGTCATGGGGCTTGAACTCTGGGCCTGAGTGCTGTCCCTCAGCTCTTCAGCTCAAGGCTAGTGCTCTACCACTTGAGCCACAGCGCCACTTCTGGTTTTCTGGTGATTTATTGGAGATAAGCGTCTCGTGGACTTTCCCATGCTGGCTTTGAACTGTGATCCTCAGATCTCAGCCTTCTGGGTAGCTAGGATTACAGGCGTGAGCCACTGGCGCCTGGCTCACCAGCTATATTTTATACTCTCCTAACCTTTAGCCCAGATGTTCCCAGAAGTCTGGAAGTTTCTCAGTGTATAAAGTTGTTTTTGAAGGTTAATTTCCAAGTGTTTTGTCCTAGAGCATGATTCAGGAACTAAATAGACTCTTGATATGCACAGGTATAAAGATCATTATCACTAAAGAAAAACTGCAGGTGGTCAGGACACATAGAGCTCAGCTCTCAAATTTCTCAGATTTGCCCATACTGCACACAGTAGATCTGAGCATCCATATCTTAAAGCTACATGGTGGAGGCCACATTACATTACAGAAATTAGTGTGATAGGCTTCCCTCAAAATCTTGATCCTTTTATCTCAGCTGGGTTTATAAGTGTGTGTATATCAAACTGTCCAGCCAAGTTTTCTTAATTCTCTATCATGTTTCTACATCATTTATAAGGAGTTCTGAAGTTTCCTGTGAATTAAACAACACACTTGGGTTTTTTCCTGCTCTATTTGTATCTGTAATTAGCAGAACATTTGGAACACCAGAACACTTCAGTAGACAAGAAATCATCAAATATTTAGGACTTTTTCATGTCAGAACTATCATCTTTATGAACAAAATTGGGTTTTATGCAAAACTTCAGCTTTCGTGGATCTGTAAAAACCAGCATCAGTAAGCAGCAGCCCAAATTCCTAGTTAAAGAAAAGCCTCTCATTTGTGTACTATAGACACTATTTGACCAGTTCCTATGTATTAAATTCTGTTCTGCTCTCTTTATAGGGTTTGTAGATATAGAAACCCCAACATTGTTTAAGAGGACCCCAGGGGTATGTATGTTCTTTAAATAATTTTACTAATAATGTCTTCTTATTCATAAAACTGATTTTATATTTGCTTTATTTATTTTGTGTTACTTATTGCCTAAACATTGTAATGTTTGTGTTTTTTTAAGAATTGGAAAAAATTATGTAGATCAGTATTTTAAATCAGAAGCTTTTATTCCTAATGAATTTTCTTTCCCTTGGGGTCTGTAGTTGCAAATCATAATGAATTGATTACTTAAAACTCTCTTTGGCCAAGCACTGATGTGTCTGCCTATAATCCTAGCTACTCAGGAGTCTGAGATCTAAGAATTACAGTTCTAAGCCAGCTCAGACAGGCAGGACAGTCTGTGAGATGCTTATCTCCAATTAACCACCAGAAAACTGGAAGTGATGCTGTGGCTCAAAGTGGTAGAACAGGAGCTTCGAGGAAAAAGAGCTCAAAGACAGCACCGCCCAGTCTCTAACTTCAAGCCCTGCAGCCAGCAAAAAACAAAAACAACAACCAAAAAAAACTCTTGTTGATGCCAGGTGATAGTGGCTCATTCAAGTATAGCTATTCAGAAAGCTGAGATCTGAGGATCATGTTCAAAACTAGCCTAGCCGGGAAAGTTAGTGAGACTCTCATCTCTAGTTACCAATTAACCACCAAAAAGCCAAAAGTGGAGCTGTGGCTCAAGTAGTAGGGTGCTAGCCTTAAGCAAAAAGAAAAGGACAGTGCCCAGGCTCTGAGTTCAAGCTCCACGACTGGCCAAAAAAAATCCTAATGTACAATTAAGAAAAATAAATTGTATTATATATGAACAAGGGACTAAAAGGTAAATGAGAAATTATCTCTATCATTGTGAGAACTCTGCTCTTATTTCCTTCAAGAAATTAATTTCTTTGCTGATTTCATTGATGAGCTGAAGTATACCTTCAGCTGGCTTAATTTTTGTTGTTAATCATTTCTCTCCTCTCTCTTTTTCTTTAAAAGGGTGCCAAGGAGTTTTTAGTACCATCCAGGGAGCCTGGAAAGTTTTATTCTCTCCCTCAGAGTCCTCAACAATTTAAGCAGCTTCTGATGGTTGGTGGTTTAGACAGGTGAGGTTTTGTTTTGTTTTTAATGCTGTTAGTTGTCATAAAAGGAGAAGAAGGAAGGGATGAAGAAAACCCATTGTCTGATCGAAAGAGAAGCTTAGAAAATTTACAAGAATTCAGAAAACACTTGTACCTTGAAAATTGGTAGTAATCATCTTTAAAGTTTATTTTGAGAGGGAAGATTGGAGGCGTGGCTTAGCGGGAGAGATCCTGCCGAGCAAGCATGGGGCATTTAGTTCAAACTCCAGTACCACCAAAAATGATGACCTTTTCAAGATAATGTTTATTATGCAAGAGGATGAAAACTTTTTGCTAGTAAATGTAGCAAAGGATTTTTTTTTAAAAAAAGGAGATTTTTGTTTTCAAGGAGTTAATGAGACTAGCAAAACAGAGTAGGAGAGTGAGTAAAGCAAACCATTAAATAACTCAAGATATGAATTGCAATTGCATTCTCCAGGAAAACAGAGGAAGAATTGTGAGCTAGCCCTTCAGAGTGAGGGCTGCATTGCAGCAGGTGGAGATAAGTTGGAATGGCGTAACAAGGGAAGGTTCAAGTGTACTCATCTCATAAAGCAGCAGCATTTCAATTTGGCTATGTATAGGAGTGGAAGAATGATTCAAGTGGTAGAGCACCTGCCTAGCATGCGTGAGGCCCTGAGTTCAATCTCTAGTACTGAAAAATAAATGTATATGAAAAGAAGCATGGATTGGCTTGCACACTAATCTCATGTATGAATATCCAAATGTGTCAGAGTCTATTTTGAAAACAGTATATAAAAAAGAGTAACTTCTCAGGTCAGCCCTGTGTCTGATCAGATGAAAACTAGCTTCTTACATTTTTTGGTATCACTATGAATTTATTCCATCACTTGCATTGCCATCGACTTTAAGGAGAAAATTGTGTCATCTTAGTCTCATGATTTAGTTAATGCTATTTTTTTCAATTGCAGATATTTTCAAGTTGCTCGATGTTACCGAGATGAAGGCTCAAAACCAGACAGACAGCCTGAATTTACTCAGGTACTGAGCAGTCGTTACTCTCCCTTACAAATTCAAATATACTAGAGCCAAGTATTTTATTTCAAGTCCAAGGAAATCTTATTACATGTCATTATATACATGTCATTATATTTACCAATCAGATATTTAATTAATGGGCTCTCATTTAATTTTTAGTTGTTTTCCTGTGCCCTTCTCATAAGGAAAGTAGTGATCAACAGAGAAATTCAGAAGTCCTTAATGTTTTAATACGATATGGTCTTTTGTACATTAAGAATACAATAAAAAAAAGAATCAATATCCTGGGGGTGGGAAGGTGGCTCAGTGGTAGAGCGCTTGCCTTGCATACATGAGGCCCTGGGTTCGATTCATCAGCACCACATAAGTATAAAAAGCCAGAAGTGGCCCTGTGGCTCAAGTGGTAGGGTGCTAGCCTTGAGCTGAAGAGCTGAGGGACAGCGTCCAGGCCCAGAGTTCAGGCCCCATGATCGACAAAAAAAAAAAAGAATATCCGTACAATACTATTAAAAAATGTGTTATTTTTAACAAGATAGAAAAGCAGAATGATAATTTTGTATATTGATATTTCTGTGGACATTGTGATTAAGTGTGATGAAATAATTGGAGTTGGATATCTAGAAATAGAGCTAGCGGGAAATGGCAGGGGTTAGGATAGGTGTAGGAGAAGAATGATGAAAGACATGATAGCAAAATGCATTGTTCTCATAAACTGACATGTTGAATTGAAACCCCCTTTTTACAATTATTTATAAATTAAGTTGGACGCTGGTGGCTCACGCACGTAATCTTATCTACTCAAAAGGCCGATATCTCAGGATGGCAGTGCAAAGCTAGCCCCAGCAGGAAAGTTTGTGAGACTGCTATATCCAGTTAACCACCAGAAAAGCTGGTAGTGGAACTGTGGTTCAAGTGGTAGAGCATCATCTTTGAGCAAAAAAGCTAAAGGACAGCACCCAGGCCCTAACTTGATGCCCCAGTACTGGCAAAAATAAGATAAAATGAATAAATATTATATTTATAATATACATGTACTTTGGAGTTGGACAGCCCAGGGATCAACCCTAACTTTACTACTTGCTGAGTACAGATATGTCACGAAGTAGTTGTAGGCATTAGCACAGTTCTTGACATAAAACAGGTGTGTAATAAAATGTATATCCTTTCCATGTATTAAGTATTTATAGGCAGAAGACTGACATCATGAAAGCTGAAAATATGCATATTTTGACTATTCAAGTTACTTTCCTTGTGTTACTTTGGTTTCAGATTGACATAGAGATGTCTTTTGTAGACCAGACAGGGGTCCAGAGTTTGATTGAGGGTTTGCTCCACTATTCCTGGCCCAGTGATAAAGATCCTGTAGTTACTCCTTTTCCTTCTATGACTTTTGCTGAGGCATTAAGCAGCTATGGAACTGATAAACCAGACACTCGCTTTGGGATGAAGGTACTCTCTTCACTTTTCCAGGACCCTGCTCTGCTCCAAAGTCGTGTGTGTGTGTGTGTGTGTGTGTGTGTGTGTGTGTGTAAGCGTGTGTACGTGTGTGTGTACGTACATGCACATATGCCAGTCCTGGGGCTTGAACTCAGGGTCTGGGTACTGTCCCTGAGATTTTTGTGCTCAAGGCCAGTACTCTTAATGCTTTGAGCCACAGCTCTACTTCTGGCTTATTTTGGTGGTTTATTGGAGATGACAGTCTCAAAGATTTCCTGCCCTAGCTGGCTTTGAACTGAGATCTTCAGATCTCAGCCTCCTGAGTAGCTGGGATTATAGACATGAGCAAATAGCACTTGGCTCCAAAGTCTTTTAAATCATTTTGATGAAATTTAAAAGTGTTATACAAGATTGGGGGCTGGGAGGATGGCTCAGTGGTAGAGCGCTTGCCTTGCATGCCTGAGGCCCTGGGTTCGATTCCTCAGCACCACATAAGCAAAAAGAAAAAAGCCGGAAGTGGCGCTGTGGCTCAAGTGGTAGAGCGCTGGCCTTGAGCTGAAGAGCTGAGGGACAGCACCCAGGCCCAAAGTTCATGCCCCACGACCGGACACAAAAAAAAAAAAAAAAAAGTGTTATACAAGATTGGATCATGCTTTTGTTGTTACCTTAGCTTGTTACTCTTGTTGCCAAAGCTGTAGGGAGAAAGGATAGAGTATATTATCAGCCTTACAGTGCTGTTTTTTGCTATTATGTTCCAAGACCCATTCCCAAGAACAAGATTCTTGCTACAAAGTTTGTATTTCTACATTTAAAAAAAAAAAAGAAAACTGCTCTTTCAATTTTTTAATGCCAAAACAGCCCTTAGAAGGCAAATGATTAGAAGTTACTCATTTTCCTTGGTCTATAAAGAGCTCAAACGTGAACACATTCATTTAGATTATTATTACCTATCAGTTTTTTGGGGTTTTTTTTGGTCAGTTGTGGAGCTTGAACTTTGGGCCTGAGCGCTGTCCCTTAGATCTTCAGCTCAAGGCTAGTGCTTTGCCACTTGAGCCACAGCACCACTTCCTACCTATCAGTATTTAAGGGCAAAGGTAGTGTGTACACTACTAAACCACCAGTCAGGGCTGGGAAGGTGGCTCAGTGGTAGAGCACTTGCCTTGCATGCCTGAGGCCCTGGGTTCAATTCCTCGATGCATCACATAAGCAAAAAGAAAAAAGCCAGAAGTGGCACTGTGACTCAAGTGGTAGAGCGCTAGTCTTGAGCTGAAGAGCTGAGGGACAGCACCTAGAGTTCAGGCCCCACTACCAGGCCCCCCCCCAAAAAAAAAAAAAAAAAAAAAACACCAGTCATTTGCTCTTGAAGAGCAATATCCCTTAATGACATTTCATCTCAGAAAACTCCCTGCATATTCTCTAAAAATTCAATTCTTGCTGGGCAACGGTGGCTATAATTCTAGCTACTCAGGAGGCTGAGATCTGAGGATTACGGTGCAAAGCCAATCCCAGGCAGGAAAGTCCATGAGACTCATCTCCAATGATCAACTTGAAAATCAGAAGTGTTGCTGTGGCTCAAGTGCTTGCCTTGAGCTGAAGAACACAGGGACAGCGCCCAAGCCCAGAGCTCAAGACCCACAACCGAATAAAAAAAAAAAAATTGAATTCTTCCAGATCTATAAATAGTCACTACTATTAGGATAGTCAGTACTGTTAGGATGTAAACAATATATATATATATATATATATACACACATACATATATATACACATACATATATATACACATGCATATATATACACATACATATATATATATATATATATATATATACACACGAAATGATAACTACATACTTATAGCTAACAATGTAAATACTTCTTGTTTTGCTTGGACAGAGTTTCAAGCATGTAATTCTGACTATTAAGGAAGTTGAGATCCATAGGATCAAAGTTCAAAGCCAGCCCAGGCTGAAAGTCTGTGAGATTCTATTTCTAAAAATAACCAGTAAAAACCAGAACTTGAGGTCTGGCTCAAATGGCAGAGTTCCAACTGAGTAAGCAAGTCATGCAAACCTGAGTCCCTGAATTCAAACTCTACTATATACAGTACATACATACTCCTTGTTTCTTCATTTGAAATATAGAATAGTGGTTCTTTGTTTTGTTTTGTTTTGTGCTGTTACTGGGTTTTGAACTCTGGACTTGAGTTCTTGCTTGGCTTTTTCACTTAAGACTAGTACTAGTATTTGAGCCACACCTCAACTTTCAGCTTTTTGATGGTTAATTGGAGATAAGTATATTATCTCCAGATTTGTCTGCCAGGCTGTCTTGGAATTAGGATCCTCAAATCTCAACTGTCTAAATAGCTAGGATTACAGGCTTAAGCCACTGGTACCTGTCTAAAATAGTGATTCTTAAGTCAAACTGTTTAGGTTCAATCTTGGCTTTGCCTCTTCCTAGCTGTGTCATCTTGGATGAGTTAATTCCTTATCTATGTCCTCATTTTCTCATTTAGGTTTTCTTTTTTTTTTTTTGGTCCGGTCGTGGGGCCTGAACTCTGGGCCTGGGCACTGTTCCTCAGCTCTTCAGCTCAAGGGTAGCGCTCTACCACTTGAGCTACAGTGCCACTTCCTGCTTTTTTCTTTTTGCTTATGTGCTGCTGAGGAATCGAACCCAGGGCCTCAGGCATGCAAGGCAAGCGCTCTACCACTGAGCCACCTTCCCAGCCCCTCTACTTCCTTCTTTAAAATTGTATTTTTTAAATATTTTGAGATAAAAATGACTTCATCCTTTTTTTATTTCCCATTTTCTAGATTGTAGATGTCAGCAATGTGTTCAGAAAGACAGAGATAAGATTTCTTCAAGATGCACTTAGCAAGCCCCAGGGAACGGCCAAAGCCATCTGTGTCCCTGAAGGAGTCGTAAGTGAATCATGATTCTGTTTTCTCAAGCATGTATGTTTCGAATGTGTTTATGAAACTAGTGTCATATTGCTACTTTGATTTTTTTTTTGACAGAAACACATAAAAAGGAAAGACATTGAATCCATTAAACAGTTTGCAGCTGACCAATTTAACCAGGTAAGCACATATCTCAGCCTCCTGAGTAGCTAGGATTACAGGCATGAGCTACCAGTACCCAGCTGTAAAATGCCTTTTTATGTGTGTTTCCTAAAGCGTTATTAACATAGGGAAAAAAATGTTCATGTTATAATGACTTGAAAGAAAAGGAAAATTCAGAGCTTTTTTTACTGTCCGTAACCATGTGAAAACATTACATTTATGTAATGAAAACAGCCTATTGCCACCTCCTAAGAAGAAAGAGAAGAGCAAGCACAAAGACCAGTAGGAGAATTTTTTAACAAGATAAAAGTAGTAGTTTACAAAATGGGTAAAGGAAATGTGTGAAAATTAATGTACAGTGAAAAGCCTTTTAACCCACCAGTCTGAGATCTAAGAATCACAGTTCAAAGCCAGCCCAGGCAGAAAAAGCTGTGAGACTCTTATAGTAGTGGAAAAGCTAAGCAAGATGGTGAGGCCCTGAGTTCAAGTCCTAGTATTAGTACCAAAAAAAAAAAAAGTGCTACCGGACAATGGTGGCTCACACCTCTAATCCTAGCTACTAAGGAGGATGAGATGTGAGGATCACTGTTGGAAGCCAGGAAGAAAAGCCTTCGAGACTCTTATCTCCAATAAAATCTACTCAGAAAAATCCAGAAGTGGTGCTGTGCCTCAAGTGGTAGAGCACTATCCTTGAGCAAAAAGAAACTCAGGTACAGGGTCTGGGCCCCTAGTTGAAACCCCAGGACTGGCCAAAAAAAAAATGGTGGAGGAGCTTTTCATAAAAGTTAAAGAACTAACAGTTCTCTTTTTCTATAGAAACATACTTTTGAGCTAGGTGTGGTAGTGAGTGCTTGTAATCCCAGCACTGGGGAGGCTGAGGCAAGGAGAGCCACAAGTTTCAGGATAGCTTAGGCTACATATGGAGACCCTGTCTTAAAACAAAAAAGAAAGAATGTACAAGAAAGAAAAAAGAAAGAGGGGGCAGAGAGAGAAAGAAAGAAAGGATCCTTTCATGATAATTGAGTAGAGGGATATTTTGGTGATACTAGGGTTTGAACTCAGCTACCACTTGAGACCTAGTCCTTGCCATTTTTATTTAATTTGTTTTTCATATAGGATCTCATTTTGCCTGTCAAAAGCCAGCTTCAGACAGTAATCCTAGTACTTATACCTCCCAAGTAGCTAGGATCATAGGCAAGAACTACTATACATGGCCTGTAATTATGTTCTTTATTTTTTAGGTCATTTTTCTTTTTTTAGCTTTGTCTTGTCTTCTTTTAATGCTGCAGAGTTACTTCAGTATATAGTACTTGATCTTCTGTGCATAGTTAAGAAGAAGACATGTTCAGGTTATGCAAGGGTTCAGTCCGTACCTTGTAAAAGGCATTTTTTTAAAGCTGAGTGAAAATATTTGGTTCCTGACAGTGCTTGGTAAATGGCTGTCATGCCAGGGACTTGGTCTTGTGAGTCCTGAGCCTTTCCCAGATTCTGCAAGGTAAATCTTGCTCCTCGCTCTGAGGCCACCTCCAGTATTCACTGGAGCTTTCATTGTCCTGGAAGCTCTGGAGCTTCTTGAATCTAGCTTCTTCAGCCTTTCTCACTCCATCACTTGCAATGGTCTAAAGTTTACAGAAACCTTTAACTTACTGGTGCTACTTTCCACCCATTTTCTTTCTCTTTCTTGTTTTCATTATAGTGAGAATACTTTTTAAAAATTCCTTTCCATCATCTTGATGGCTTGAGGGAGAGAACAGAGATAATTCATGGCAAGTCTCTTCTTCTAGGACCAAGGAATTTTTATTTATTTTATTTTTGTCAGTCATGGGGCTTGAACTCTGGGCCTGGTCATTGTCCCTCAGCTCTTCAGCTCAAGGCGAGCACACTACCACTTGAGCCACAGTGCCACTTCCGGTTTTTCTGGTTTATTGGAGATAAGAGTCTCTTGGACTTTCCTATCCAGGCTTGGTTTGAACAGTGATCCTCAAATCTCAGCCTTCTGAGTAGCTAGGATTATAGGCGTGAGCCACTGGTTTCCAGTGGACCAAGAAATTTTTTTTTTTGGTCAGTCGTGGGGCTTGAACTTCAGGCTTGGGCACTATCCCTGCACTCTTCAGCTCAAGGCAAGCGTTCTACTGCTTGAGCCACAGCACCACTTCCAGTTTTCTAGTGGTTTTTATTGGAGATAAGAGTCTCACGGACTTTCATGCCCGGGCTGGCTTTGAACCGCAATCCTCAGATCTCAGCCTCCTGAGTAGCTAGGATGACAGGTGTGAGCCACCAGTGCCCAGCTGGACCAAGAAATTTTTGAACTACGAGAAATAAATCAATCTCACTTTAAAAAAATGTGATTAGGGGCTGGGAAGGTGGCTCAGTGGTAGAGTGCTTGCCTAGCATGCATAAGGCCATGGGTTTGATTCCTTAGCACCACATAAACAGAAAAAACTGGAAGTGGTGCTGTGGCTCAAGTGGTAGAGCGCTAGCCTTGAGCTGAAGAGCTGAGGGACAGCGCCCAGGCCCAGAGTTCAGGCCCCATGACCAGAAAAAAAAAAAAATGTGATTATGCAATTGTAACCCCTTTGTACAAACTTAATAATAACAATAATATGTAAACAACCCTTTTTATTACAGGAAGTCTTACCTATATTCCTAAAAGCCAGTAGAAACTGGAATTCACCAGTTGCTAAACTCGTAACAGAGGATCAGAGATTGGAATTAATCAGACTAATGGAGATTCAAGAGGAAGATGTAGTCTTACTAACTGCTGGGGAGCATAAGAAAACGGTGAGAAAAATTACCTCCCAGTATAGATGATATGGACGTTCTCTCCTCTATTTGTATACAGGTCAGGTCAAGAGTACCTTTCTTTTTGGACAGTGTCACCCTTTCCCTCAATCTCTCCCATTTTTTCCCTCCTGTCCTACCCACAGGTTCATTTTCTACGTAGTAGCTAGTGAGTACTTTTGTCCCTCCATATCTGTGCTCCCTCCTCCCACCCTCCCAAAGACAGACAAACAAGACAAAATGAAAATTAAACCAACAACTGGGTTGTTTCCATTTCTGAATATCGTTCAGTGCTTTATAACGCACTGTATTAAAAAATGGAATTTTGCCAAGCACCAATGGTCACACTTGTAAATTCTAGATCCTCAGGAGACTGAGACTTTAATGATTGAGGTTGGTGGTCAGCCAACAGAAATTCTGTGAGACTCTATCTCTGATAAACCAGTAGAGAGCAGGCTGGAGGCGTGGCTCACGTGGTAGACGAGCTGAGAGTGTGAGGCCCTGAGTTCAAGCCCTAGAGCTGAGAAACAAAACAAGAGGAAACACTGGAGTCTTTTCTCATTAGCTATAGTCTCCACTGGCATTCTTCACACAGATTAGGAATTCTGCAGCGTGTTAATGGTATTAATCAACTGTGGAGAATATTTTTCTTTTCAAGGTTTTGCAAGTGAAGGAAATTTTGTACTTGGAACTATTGTTGATAAGGTATGCTTAAACATGTAGGGGACATTGCAGAATGTTGGAGGTTTCCTGGTCACAGGCACCCCTAGGTATAGTCAAGGCTCCAGGAGTAGCAATTATAGGTGGAAAACTGAAGGACAGAAGTTAAAATTTTCTCACAGTAACATAGCTAGTAAGTGGAGGGATCAGATTTCTAGCCCCCAGCTCTGGTTTTGAAATTTACTGGTAAGTTAACATGGCTGGGCACTGGTGGCTCACACCTATAACCCTAGCTACTCAGGAGTCTGAGATCTGAGGATTGTGGTTCAAAGCCAGCCTAGGCAGGAAAGTCCCTGAGACTCTTATCTCTAATTAACACCAGAAAACTGCAAGTGGAGCTGTTAAAGTGGTAGAGCGCTAGCCTTGAGCAAAAGAGCTCAGGGACAGTGCCCAGGCCCTGAGTCCAAGCCCCATGGCTAACATAAAATAATAATAATAGCTAGCATTTACTAAACATTAAATGTATGCCAAGCATTCTTAAATATTTACCGTTACCCTTTGGTAGCATTGGGTAAATCAGAATACATTTAAACTGCTAATCACTTCTTCTTTTTTTTTTTTTGCGGGGGAGGGGGGAAGGAGGGTTGGAGGGGGGATTAATTGGAGATAAGACTCTGACTTCACTGTCCTAGCTGGCTTCAAATTGCAATCCTCAGATATCAGCTTCTCTACTCTTCAGCCTCAGTCTCTACCCTTCAACAGGATATACTTTATAGGCTGAAGCCTCTAGCCTTATTTTTGTTATTTGTTTTGGAGTTTGAATCTAGTTAACTTTTCTGCCCCAGTGACCTCAAAGCTTGATTCTTTGGCGCTTAATACACTTACTCATCCCAATTGGCCAGTTCATTCATTAAGCATATTTATGAGACCTTCTGAAAAAAATAGGACACAGTTTATAATACAGAGTTGGCCAAAGAGAGCAGCAAACATTTATTACCCAATAGATCAAATCAGTAACTCTTCAAGTGGCTGAAAGTCTCTGGTGCACTTTGTCAAAGAATGGTTGGACTCTGTTCCTCATTCCTCTGAGATTTTTTCACCTTTTCCTACCTGCCACCTTACTTACCATCCAGAAGGCCTACAGCCTTCATTGGCCTTCTTTTTTTTTTTTTTTTGTGGGGGGGGGGGGGGTAGGTCATGGGGCTTGAACTCAGGGCCTGGGCATTGTCCCTGAGCTTCTTTTGCTCAAGGCTAGCACTCTACCTCTTGAGCCACAGTGTCACTTCTGGCTTTTTCTGTTTATGTGGTACTGAGGAATCGAACCCAAGGCTTCATGCATGCTAGGCAAGCACTCTACCATTAAGCCTCATACCCAGCCCCTTTATTGGCCTTTTAAGAAAGATTTCCTTGCATGAAAAAGGCTTTAAAGTTTTGGACTAAAGAATTATTTTAACCATTAGCCTGTTAGAATTATAAAAGTATCTTCGAATTCTTTTTTTTTTTTTTTTTGTCGGTCCTGGGGTTTAAACTCTGGGCCTGGGCGCTGTCCCTCAGCTCTTCAGCTCAAGGCGAGCGCTCTACCACTTGAGCTACAGCACCACTTCCGGTTTTCTGGTGGTTTATTGGAGATAGGAGTCTCACGGTCTCTCCTGCCCGGGCTGGCTTTGAACCGCGATCCTCAGATCTCAGCCTCCTGAGTAACTAGGATTACAGGTGTGAGCCACCAGCGCCCGGCTATCTTCGAATTCTTTACCCCAAGTAATAGGAACTATGTTTATACAGGCATAAAGGCCTCATCTTCTTGATTAGAAACAAACCTTTTGGATCAATTTAGAATATCAAGTAGAGAATGCTCACTGTGCGGGGGAAAAAAAATCATATGTGAAAATAGAACTAAGAAACTTGAAGAGCTAGGCAGGGTTGGGATAGACATGGGGTGAACGATGGGAGACAACAATCAAAATGCGTTGTACTAATAAACTGACATGTTAAGTTGAAAATCCTTTGTACAGCTCAAGTTTGGTTTTTTTTTAAGATCTAAGGAAATCTTAAATAAATATCTACCAATAAATTACGGCCATATTCAGAATCAGCCTTTTCTCTCAAAACATTTGGATAAAATACGTTGGGACAGAGTAGAAACAAAATTATTATAAAACTGGGGCTGGGAAGGTGGCTCAGTGGTAGAGTGCTTGCCTTGCATGCATGAGGCCCTGGGTTCGATTCCTCAGCACCACATAAGCAAAAAGAAAAAAAGCTGGAAGTGGCGCTGTGGCTCAAGTGGTAGAGCGCTAGCCTTGAGCTGAAGAACTGAGGGACAGCGCCCAGGCCCAGAGTTCAAGCCCCACAACCGGACCCCCCAAAAAAAAAAATTATTATAAAACTGACTAATCCTACTCTCTGCCTACTTTCAGGGCATCATGAAAATGATCTGATAAGACCTGTTCTAGATCACAGAATCAAGGCAGGCTTTTCTCCTCAGAGCTCCAGAGCTCACGAAGTGTATTTCAGAATCTCCACAGAGCTATGCTCTTTGCATTGAATTGAGCTGGCTGAGCTTTAACACAGAATGGTCTGCCTCAGGATGTAGGTTGTGTCATCTGGTGCCGTCTTAGGCTTCTCCATCAAAAGTCAACTTACTGTCGGTGTCTTCTGTTTGCAGTGTTCTTTGTTGGGAAAATTACGACTGCAGTGTGCTGACCTTCTGGAAACGAAAGGCATGGTACTCCGTGACCCAGCACAGTTCTCGTTCCTGTGGGTGGTGGACTTCCCACTCTTCCTTCCGAAGGAGGAAAGTCCCACAGAGCTGGAGTCAGCTCACCACCCATTCACTGCTCCCCACCCCAGTGACCTTCACCTCCTCTACACTGAGCCTGAAAAGGTACGCTATCTGTATGTCCAAGTAAAAGAAAACATGTAAAGCAGGAAGTTAAAGTTCACTGTCTGAAGATGAACAAGGACCAAGCCAGACTCTAGAAGCCCCAGAAAAAACTGTGGGCCAGAGTTAATATATTATTATATATTATTTCTAAGTAATTACAGTGTCTTCACTCTGCAGGTCAGAACACCAGGATTTCCCTCTAATTCAAAGGCTCTATGAATTCTTCTAGGTTCGTAGCCAACACTATGACTTGGTTTTAAATGGCAGTGAGATAGGAGGTGGTTCTATCAGAATTCACGATGCACAACTGCAGCAGTACATCCTGGCAACATTATTAAAGGTAACAAATCTTCTTTGTCAGTTCTATTATTCATTTGTTAGTATTTATCATGAATGGAGAATTTGTTTGATAAAAAATAGTGTCACCTTACCATGCGACCTTTCGTTTAGGACTTACAAAAGTAAATGATTGTAATAGCTGCTTATCAGTGCTTACTATGTGCCAACGACTGCGTAAGTACTATATACGCATTCATGTATTTAATCCTCACAGTTAACTTATTGATACCCTTATTCTACTCATTTTAAAGATGGCTACTGCGGGGCCCCAGTGGCTCACTCATGCCTGTAATCCTAGCTCCTGGGGAGGCTGAGATCTGAGGATCGCAGTTCCAAGCCAGCCTGGGCAGGAAAGTCCATGAAACTGTTATCTCCAATAAACCAATAGAAAACCAGAAGTGGCATTTGTGGCTCAAGTGGTAGAGTGCTAGCCTTGATCTGAAAAGCTGAGGGACAGCGCCCAGGCCCAGAGTTCAAGCCCCACAACTGACCCCCCAAGATGATGTCATACTGAGGCAGATTATTTAGCTTGCCCAAACCCATACTGCACAGAAGCAAGTAGAAGTAGGTATTGAAGGGGGCTCTTGAGCCTTTCTCTAACAACTATACTATCAAAAAAAGTCATTTGTGGGGTAGAGATGTAACTCAGTGCCTAGTATGTGTAAAGGCCTTATGGAAGGGGGGAAAATTACGTCATTTTCAGGGACTAATATTAGAAAAAGAGAGATGTTGCTATTATTGTAGTTGTAGTTGTTATTGTATGTTTGGATGGATGGTTGATTTGGGATTTGTTGAGACAAGTTCTCCCTATTGCCCAAACTGGCTTTGAACTTGTGATCCTCTTGTCTCAGCCTCCTAAATGCATGTATCACTACACCCAGCCAACAGGAATTTCAAGATTTCATGTCAGTGCACAGATACACTTTAGGTATATTTCAGGTCATGGTAAATGTAGGTGATACGAAAGTAGGACAGTTAGAATTTTAAGAAGAGTTTATACAGATACAGACCTAAGAACTTAAATGTCACTGATGATTCTGTAGAAGACAGGATTAGTTTAACAAAATATTTCAGGATTCTGTTCCTAAAAAAAATTATGTGGTGGTGCGGAGTTCAATTCCAAGTACAAGTACTACCAAAAAAAAAAAAAAGCGGGGTACTCATGGCTGCTACTCACAAGGCTGAGATCTAAGGATCACAGTACAGTTAAGTCTGTGAGATTTTTTATCTCCAGTTAACCACCCCAAAATTGGAAGTGTATCTGTAGCTTAAAGTGCTAGAGTGCTAGCCTTGAGCAAAGAAGCTCAGGAACAGCACCTGGGCCCTGAGTTCATGCCCCAAAAGAGGCAAAAACTAAATAGTAAGTAAATAAATAAATAAATGGGATTAGCTAAGCAGTGTGACCTAGGATGGATTTGGAGAGCTCAAAGCAGGGCAGACACTCCCACCCCCCCCTTCAGGGATCTGTGACCTTTCTCCTGTCTCCAGTCATCCCATTTGCAGCCTGCCTTTTTCATTGTGTTCAATGTTAGCTTTTCAGAAGTATAAGAATACACAGTTTCTGCTGTACCCCATCACTCCACAGCTCAGCCCTGCAGCACATTAGAATAGAATTACTTAGTGTTTAAAAAAATCATTATTAAAAAATAAAATCCATCACACCTGTAATCCTAGCTACTCAGGAGGCTAAAATCTGAAGATCATGTTTTAAGGCAACAGGAAAATCCATAACACTCATCTCTAATTAACCACCAGAAAAGTAGAAGTGGAGCTGTGGCTCAAAGTGAGAAACTGTTAAGACTTGAGCAAAAAATCTCAGGGACAGCACCCAGGACCTGAGTGCAAGCACCATGACTGACAAAAAAAGAAAGAAAAGAATATCAACATGAGCACCAGTGGCTCACACTTGTAATCCTAGCTACGCAGGAGGCTGAGATCCGACAGTCACAGTTCAAAACCAGCCAGGCAGAAAAGTCCATGAGACTCATCTCCAGTTAACTACTAAAAACCTGCAAGTAGAGCTGTGCCTCAAGTGGTAGGGTACCAGTCTTGAACAGAAAAAGCCAAAGTATAGTGCCCAGGTCCTGAAATCAACGCCAATATCAGCATATACACAAACAAATCACTGATGTGTTTGACACCTCATTAGGCCCTCTATAAATAAAAAGCTGTACTAGGTGGAGTTTGGCACCTGTTGAAGCTTCCTCCTGGACTCTGACCTAGAGTATAATGAGAGAACTGTTTTTGGACACACTTCCAACTTTTTCATTTTTGTCCGTTAGTCTTGGGTCTTGAACACAAGGCTTTAAGCTCTCACTCAAAAGTTTTTCTCAAGGCTGGTGCTCTACCACTTGAGCTACACTTCTAGTTCTGGTTTTCTGTTTTATTAGTTAAAGTCTGTCAGATTTGTCTGCCCAGACTAGCTTCAAACCAGGATCTTCAGATGTCTCTAGTACTTTAACTCATCTAACCTTTATTTCCCTATTACTTCCTAAGAACTTATTATAGCTTAAGTATATATTTAATGGAGAATCTATGTTCTTTTCTTTTCTTTTTCTTTTGGTCAGTCGTGGGTCCTGAACTCTGGGGCCTAGGCGCTGTCCCTCAGCTATTCAGCTCAAGGCTAGCACTCTACCACTTCTGTTTTTTTCTGCTTATGTGGTGCTGAGGAATTGAACCCAGGGCGTCATACATGCAAGGCAAACACACTACCACTGAGCCACCTTTCCAATCCTTAATGGAGTATCTTGAATTTTAGGAAGATGTGAAATTGCTCTCCCATCTGCTGCAGGCTTTAGATCACGGGGCACCCCCTCATGGAGGAATTGCCTTAGGTAAGCGTTTGTCCTCTTATAATTTCATTCCATAGCACTGTGTCGCAAATGCGGACCTTCAGTTTAACGGTGGGGGAAGGAGTTGAGTGTAAAAGTTCTATGAGGATTTGCATGTTTTTAGTTTGTTTATGCTTATGCTAGGGATTGAACCCAGTGTCTCGGGTCCGTTAAATAGTCACTCTAGTATTACTTTTAAAAAATATTTTGCCAGTATTAAGATAAAACTCAACATGGTCAGTCACTGTGGCTCACACCTGTTATCCTAGCTACCTTGGAGGCTGAGATCTCAGGATCAAGATTCAAAGCCATCCTGGGAGAACAGGGACAGAAAATCTGTAAGATTTTCTTTTGCTTGTTTTGCTGGTCTTAGGGCTTGAACTCAGGGGCTGGGCCCTGCCCCTGAGCCTTTGTGCTGAAGGCTAGCACTGCAGGACCACTTCTGGCTTTATTGGAGATTTTCCTTGCCTGGATTGGCAAACATAATTAAAACAAAACCAGCCAGGCAATGATGGCTCATTCCTGTAATCCTAGCTACTCAGAAGGCTGAGATCTGAGGATCGAGGCTCAAAGCCAGCCTGGACAGCAAAGTCCGTGAGATTTTTTTTTTTTGTCAGCTGTGCTTTCTGTAGGCTTTTTGGCTCAAGACTAGCGCTATCACTTGAGCCACAGCTTTACTTCCAGGATTTGGATAGTTTATCGGAGATAAGAATCTTAACACTTTCCTGTCGGGTTAGCTGGAAACAGCAGTCCTCCTGAGCTAATCCTCCTGAGCTGCTGGGATTATAGGCATAAGCCACCTGCACCTAGCTCAAAGGTGTTTTTTCCTTTTTTAAAATAGAAATTGTAGGTGCTTAAGTCAAAATTGCTCATCTTCATTTCAAACCCCAGCACTAAAAACAAAACCCAAAAAACAAAACTTAAGTGGTTTGGCTTTTATGAGCTTAAGTGTTCTACCCCAGTGCCACAGAATAAGAACTTTTCAAACAAGTTCTCTAAAAATATTTGTTTTGGGTCCGGTCATGGGGCCTGAACTCTGGGTTTGGGCGCTGTCCCTCAGCTTTTCAGCTCAAGGCTAGTGCTCTACCACTTGAGCCACATCACCACTTCAGGCTTTTCTTTTTGCTTATGTGGTGCTGAGGAATCGAACTCAGGGCCTCATGCATGCAAGGCAAGCACTCTACCAGAGCCACCTTCCCAGCCCTCTAAAAATATTTGACTGCAACATATTTATAGTATTGAAAAGGTCTCTATAGGGTTGTGGATGTTGGCTCACTGGGTAGGCCACTTACCTTCTTTGCATGGAGCTCTAAGTTCAAGGAATTGTCTGCAAGATTTACTCTGGCAGTCCTTGGGTTTGAACTCATGGCCAAGTGTTCTAATATTTGGGCCACACCCTAGCCTTCTCTACAACTTACAGAAAAACTAAGTCATTTCCAAAGTTAGACACTTCTGTTCACTTTGTATTTTCTTCACAGGGTTAGATAGGCTGATGTGCCTCATCACCGGAGCTCCAAGCATCAGAGATGTCATAGCCTTCCCCAAATCCTTCCGGGGACATGACCTCATGAGCAGTGCCCCAGATTCTGTCCCAGTGGAAGAACTAAGGCCTTATCATATCCAGGTATCCTGGCCAACAGAGGCAGAAGCAGGAAAGGATTCATTGAATCAGCCTCACCAACAAAAAAGTTGAATTTTGGCTTTTGTGCTACAGGCATGTCGTCTTTGGGTGGAAATAATCCAAGTGTTCTTCACAGTAAGGAAACAGGCATGGCAGCCCACACTTAATCCCAGCAGCCAGGCTTCAGCAGCAGAATCATGAGTTCAAGGGCAGCCAGGACTATCAGCAAAACCTTGGCTTGTAAAAAAACAAGATCCAATTTGATAATTTACCTCTATGGTTTGAAACATTATGGAAAGTTATTCTTGGAGAGTTGTGAAAGATGGTTATATTTCAATTGGCAAGTCTGAAGTTGCAAAATCAGAGATGAGTCACAAGATCATAGCTTTTTTGTATGGGCCTGAGCTAGTGCTCTACCACTTGAGCCACTGCCCACTTCTAGTTATTTTGGTGTCAAGACTGGCTTTATTTGAACCTTGATCCTCATATTTCAGCTTCCTGAGTAATGCGAGCCACTGGAGCCCTAGTCCCTTTTGTAAAATCCAGTCTATCTGTCCTGGCTACCTCCCTCATGGGGCTCTTGGCAGGAAGAGGATGTATTTGCTGGAGTTGAGAATGCTCTGAAAAACTGCAGGACTAGGAATGCATGGGCAAGCTCCTGCATTCTAATTCACAGCACCAATAAATGAGCAGCAAGGCAGGAAAAAAATCATGAATTAAAGATCAACCTTGACTACCTACAAAAAATAACCCCATTGCAATCAAGACTTTTGGAGTTACTTTTTTTGGAGGGGGGCCAGTCGTGGAGTATGAACTCCAAGCTTGGGCACTGTCCCTCAGCTCTTAAGCTCAAGGCGAGCACTCTACCACTTATGCCACAGCACCACTTCTGGCTTTTTTTCTGCTTATGTGGTACTGAAGAATCGAACCCAGGGCCTCAGGCATACAAGGCAAGCACTCTACCACTAAGCCAACTTCCCAGCCCTGGAGTTACTATTCTTTAGGATAAAAACATGTAGCAAATATGAGTGCTTGTTCCATGTTTATGACTTTTGCCCCCTGGCAGTCAATAAAAATCATGTGATGGGAATGGCTAAGGACTGATCTTCCTTCTTGATCTTTGCTGCTCTAAATATAGGATTCCACTTACAGTTCTCATGGTTAATTGGATAGCTCAGGCCTAGTACTTCAAGTCTCACCTACATGCCCACCACCACCCAGCAGAAATCAAACTAGGATTGAACCATGGGCACCTAGCTCAGAAAAATCTGCCTCACACCAGTTCTGACCCTATAGAAATGCTGACAACCAAGATCCAGTTTGGTCTTACTGAACTGTAAGCTGGCCTCTAGCCTGTTTGCATATATGTAAGTGCTGGGGAATTGAACCCAGGGCCTCATGCATGCAAAGCAAGCACTCTACCACTGAGTCACCTTCCCAACCTGACTGAAGCACTTTTGTTGGTCAAGTTTTGAACTCTTTGGGCCTGGATGTTGACCCTGAGCTATTCAGTTTAAGAAATGTTGCTTTACCACTTACGCCCAGTGCCGCTGTTTTCTAGTGGTTAATTGAACTTTACTGCGGGGTGGCTATGAACTACAATCCTCAGATCTCAGATCCCAAGTAGGAGTAAGCACCAGTGGCACCTGAACTGAATCATCTCTAATTTTGCCTGCTTAGGCAGCCGAGAGACAGACTTGGAGGCCAAAATCCCATTGAACAGCTAACTAGGTTATCAGTTGTGTGCTTCAGGTTAGCACAGGGCCCTGCCAAAAAGCAGTGGAAGTCTACATATCCACCTACTCAACCTCAGTGTTAAGAGAATAAAGAAGCCTAATAGATTTGTTGCACAAATCAGGACGGACCTAAAAGTTCGGGTCTTATATGTCAGTGAGTTCCAACTAAGAAATTATACTTGGTAAACGCATTTGGTAATGTCAATAGTTCCCTTGATGGAAGTCAAGAAAGTGAAGGCCATACAGCACTACTCTCCCAATACTTCCTTCATACCTGCAGACCAAACTTATGCCAGGCTCTAACTAAACTTCCTTTAATGCATTTTCAGCATCTAGTAGTTTTGTTGTCTTGCCCATATGCAGCCCAACACTGAAAGTCCAGCATAGTTCAAAGTGGTTAAAAGAAATTTATTTAAAAATTGATTTTCTATTCCAGGACATGCAGACCACCAGCTACCTGCAAATGAAGACATACTTTAAGCCACATTTCTTGGTTTGAAGTTCAATTGTTTCAAGTTGAATTGTCCTTAAGAGAAAGCAGAATATCAGATCTCTTAGTATCATCAAGTAGTCAGTGAGAGAGTTCAAGGTAGGTTGAGATCATCATATATTCTGAAATAGGGTGCTACCACCTTTCAGTCCTCACCTTATGAAATATGTAAGCTTCAATCTTGCTGATCTACAGAAATCAAATAAAAAATTAGTCTACTGATGTTACTGAGGTTAAGTTAAAAACACACATGTGGTTCTTTTCAATATAGTAACCTCAGAAATAAAATGGAACGGTTTTATATGTGATATCATTGTTATCTCATTTGGCAGAATCATCACATCACTGGTTACATTCTAAAATAAAACAATATAAATTTGACTTACCTTTTCTGTTCTGAAAGTGCCAACCTGTTTTAAAGAAAGAAATGCACTTTGAGATGTCTCATTGGCTAAACTCAGGACATGAAGAGTTTGACATAAGGCTATTTCTCCAAGCTATACTGACATGGTCTGGGTAAACTTGCACTTATGCCACTTAACCCATGAGCAAGATTTGATCGCAAGTTGTCAGAAATACTGCTATCTCCAAAACAGCCAGATCAACCCCTAGAATCCTGCCAAATATAAACATATACCTACTAACCTGCAAGTCTTAGGCTGGATTGTTTTGTAGTCCTCACTGCACTTAAAAACTTTCATGATCTTTCACTGCGTTCTAGGACAGGAGTACAGGCTCAATCCACCACACCCAGCTTCAATGTTCATTCTTGAAATTATGGGAGAAGACATTTTTACAGATCAATTTCCATAAGTATTTGACAAGGCAGTCTCTACAAACTTATGTTCAATTGTTACTATAGCCAGATACATCAGATAGGAGCGAAAGACTTAGGATTGCTCATCAGTGTTAAGTCTGCTGAACTATGTTATCATCATTGTATCGGCTTTCAGAAGACAAATGAATAAAAGTCATGGCAATTGGCAGAGTGCCTATTCTCAAAGGTGCATCCTTTGGTAAGGGGCATGCAAACAAGGCAGTATGGCTGGCTGATCCTTACCACAAAAAGTGCGATGTCCTTGACTTAAAACTCGGTTGTGCACTGACCATTGTAGTGCAGATGCTTCATAAACCTGCAGAAATACACTGACTTAGCAATGGACTGTTAGGCCGATTGTTTCATTTAAACTCTAATCACTGTTTCAGTTTTTAAAGTTATTCTTCATTCTTTTATCAGAGAGATTCCCATCTGTTTTAGCTTGAAAAATCATCACCAACAGTTACCTTGCTCTAAAATACATTAGGTTAGTTAGTTATATACCTTATTTCTGACTCTCCATGCAGGACCTGGAAAGAAAAATACCTGTAAGCGTTGAAAACTATCAACTTCATATTCTAAGCATTTTATCAACTGTATCTTAAGCTGTGTCTTTAACGCGGCCTAGGCATTGTCCCTGAGCCTCTTTCTGCTCAATAGTGCTCTGCCATTTAAGCAAGAGTGCTACTTCCAATTTGGAGTAGTTAATTGTGGCGAAGTCTTAGGATTACTTTTCTGCCTGGGTTGGCTTTAAACCATGATCATCTTATCTTAGCCTGCAGAGTAGTTATGATTAGATATAACCCACTATTTTTAGACTTGGTAAATAAACATCTCAGTCTGTCAATACTACATACATTCTAGAACTATAAGCACAAGATGCCAGGAAACAATATATTAAGAACAATGAATGTTCTTACCCAAGAGCAAGAAATGCAGTCAATATTTATGCAGGTAGCTGGAATAAAAAAAAATTCATTAATAACTGGTATGAATCATTTCATCTCCTGAGTGTCTTTTTTCAGGGTTTCTCAGTGTTAAAATATGTCTACATGCTCATTTCAGGTCAGACATTTGATCAACATCATTACAAACACCCTAGTCAGAGCATGCTCACAGGCAGCATTAGCATTTGTTACAGGATTACAGGAGTTAAATAGCTTATTAGTAGGCATGCCACAGTATTGGCTTTTGTGCTCTTCTACTTGTCCATTTCCCACTACTTACTAGAAACTAGTAGACATCTCAAATGGCACCTAAAAGAAAGGATTTTAGTAAGAACAGCTATACATGTGGGTTCTCCCCCTAAAAATAACAATGCCTGAAATCAGTTAGAGCTAATAAGACCTTCATGTTCAGTCAGTATTTGCTCATCATCATGCAGGCTGCAAAAATGATGCCTTGGAAATTTAACGAGAGAAAAGGCAGTCATTTCAATGCACTGTAGTTGTGCTGTATAAATTATGATAGCACCATTTCCATCCTGTTCTGCCAGTTACCATTCCACAATTTTAGGTCAATTACTGGTACTACTGTGTGGGGTAGTTATTAAAGCCCCACAATCGCAGAAACAGATGGTGACTATCGTCATTTTACCCGCTGAATTTTGCAGCCGGAGAATCTACAGTACTAAGTTTTAATATCAATGTTGTTAAATGTCTTAAGTTTTGAAATTCCTATGTGAATAGTAAGCTTTCTCACCTGTGCCCATGGCTGGACTGGCTTGCTCTTCACTACCTGCAAAAATACAGCCGTATTTAAACTCAATGGCAATCTCCTATGTATGGCCCTTGTGTCTATACTGTGTGCCTCAGTTAATTAATGGTGGTTATCTTGATCATCATTCTTACTGTCAAGAGTAGCAAATATAATGTCATCACTGTGGCACACTTGCCCTTCCACTTAGCTTGGTGCCATGTGGATGCTACAGTAACTTACCTCATTTCTCTGCCTCCTTTTACAGGTAACTAAAAAGCAAAAAAAAAAATCAACTTTAGAACACTCCCTAGGGTCTATATTACTATCCTTCAGTCTATGAAACATCATAGCCTCAGCAAAAGATTTCAGAAATCCTTTCTGTCCACTACTCTTATTCCATCACAGGCTTTGCAAAGAAGCAGTGTTTCTATGCAATTATCTTACCTGTCCGTAAGATGTCAGCAAAAGCCACGCTGCCTCCACTTGGAGCACCATCTCTGGGAAGAAGAAAGTGTGTCAGTTCACGTCCTGCCATTTTCGCCTCCAATTTCCATGACTGACGTGCTCATCTAGTGTTACAAGCAGTGCATCGCACGCTGTGCACTGAGGCACACAATGGTTCCGTGTGCTCCAAAGCCTCCAAGGCCTACCCGTCACCGGAGGCGCCCATGCAGGTACCAAGGCCTAGCCGGGCCCAACGCCGGAGGCTCACACGTCTGTAATCCCGTCTATCCAGATGGCTGCGATCTGAGCTTCGCAGGTCGGAGGCAGCCCCAACCAATCGCCCAAACGCTCCCAGCGCAGCAGTGGCCAATGGCGGGCGCCAGCCTCGAGCTCGGGGACAGTGCGCAGGGCCCATTCCAAGGCCCGGGCCCCGCACGCCCGGGGAGGCCGAGTCCGATGGCCGCGAGCGCCGCCGTCAGAGCCGTTGGCATTCATCAACACCCTCAGATGTCCCTACCAACACAGGCTTCATCACCGGCGGCCGCGCGAGCCCTCCCCGCTGCCCCCGCGCGCTGGCGACCGCTCCGCGCAACTCCGTCCTCACCCCGCGCGTCCCCACCGGCCCAAGCCCACCTCACCTCCCAAGGGCCTGGAGACGCGGCTCGCAGCCTTGGCAGACACCTACCTCCACAGCAGCGGCGAGCTCCCAACGCCGAAAGACCGAAATGGCGCCCGGAGGCCCGTATATATAGGCATTCTGCGTGACGTCACGACGCACGCCCTCCAGCGGCGTCCGCCCCTCCAACCCCTCCTCCGGCCCGATCTTCTCCCCGCCCCCCAGGCCCTGCCCGGCCTGACCGCGCCCTGCGGGGCGGGGACACGGCCGCGCGCCCGCCGCGCCGCTCCCGCCCTCTCCCAGCGCCGGAGGAAGAGCGGCGGGGAGGGGGCGCGAGGACGGAAAGCACGGGGGAGGGGGCGGGGAGGGGGGCGGTGTAAGGGTGAGCGATTTCCTTCCGGCACGTCGCCCGCTCCGGGGGAGGGGGCGGGGGGTTTCACTTCCGGGACGGTGTTCCGGCCCATTCCGGCCCATTTCTACCCCCGGAGGTAGGTACAGCTCCGAGACTTGGGCTCAGGCCCCCGCACCCCGGGCCGGCTGCCCGGCACCGAGGTCCGCCGGGCCGGGCTCCGCTGCAGCCCGCCTCGGGGACGCCCGGCCGCTTCCCGCCACCTCCCCTGCCGGCGCCCGGCGACCTTCCACCTCTTTGGCCCGGAGCCGGGCGGATCGGCCGGACCCGCCCCCTCCCGGGCCCCTCCCTCAGGACCCCGGGCTGGGCGGCCCCCTCCCCGCGGCGGCGGGACACACCCCGAGCACACACCCACCTCGGGCGCCTCCCCGCCCGGGCCGTCCCGGGGCGCCGCCCCCTTCCCGCCCTCGGCGCTCACCTGCGAGCGGCTCCGGGCCGCGCTGCGGGCTCCCCGCGCCTCCCGGGCTCCCGCCCCGCCGAGCGAGCACCCCTCTCCCCGCGTCCACACCCATCCGTTCCCCGTTCTCCCTCTTCCAGCTTCACCCCTCCAGGGCCGACGCTAGAGAAAGACTTTCCTCCCGGGCCTCCTCCTCACTGGGGAATTGCCGGACAGAGCAAACAAACAAACAAAAAAGGCTCCAAAATAAACTCATCCGAATTCCTGATGGCGTCGACCGAGCCTCTTACGGGAGTAAAAGTTCCAAAACAAACAATAACGCTTTGGAAAAAGGTCAGATTGGCTAAAGTTAGTTCTTGAAAGGAGTAGTTGCACTTCCCTATTGATCGCCAAGGCGGGGACCCCGTGTGTGCTGATCCCCGAAGAATTCCTCAAGGTCACTCTGGGATCTAAACTTAGAGAAACCGTGGCAGTGAAAGCCTTGTCGTCCTCTTGGGATTTATACAAACTAGATTGGTAACCACGGCAGTCTTTTTAAGTTTGGACCATGCTTGTAAATGCATTTGTGTCTACCAGCTCCAGGGAACTTTCAAAATCAATACATAATCACCACCGTGAAATTCCCCAACTTCGAATTTGGATAGAGCAGATTTACTTTTTCCTGAGAACTGGGCTTCAAGTTATTGCATCGTTCTTTCTTTTCTTTTATTTTATTTTTTAGTTAAAGGTAATTAAAGGTTCATCAAGTGAGGTGTGCCAGCACACATCTAGAATGCCAGCCTTGGAGAATAGAAGTTCTCTGCATCTTGATTGAGTCTTGACAAGAGTGGTGGAATTTTTCCTAACCTAGAGTTTGCCTCAGAGTCCCATATCCAAAAGCTTTTTGTGGGAACTCTGGTAAGCTTTAAAATACTGGCCTACATTCATGTGGGATATTAATCACTTTATAAAGTAATAAATGTAACTCATGCTGCATGTAGTAAAGTCTTGGGAGATAACTAATCCATTCATTTGTATGTAATTGCATGTACTCAAGAAACTTTCTTTTCTCCTTCATAGAAAAGTTGTCAAGGAATTTTTATATTTAGCTTGCAGCTACTGTATGATTAATACCTCATCATCCCTTTTGTTGAACCTTGTTGTTCTATACTTTATTAGTAAGAAAAATATAAACTGGACTGCAGGTGGCTCATTCCTGTAATCCTAGCTACTTAGGAGGCTGAGATCTGAAGATCAAGGTTCAAAGCCAACCTGGGCAGGAAAATCCATGAGACTTCCCTCTAATTAACCATGAGAACAGCAGAGTGGTGCTGTGGCTCCAAGTGGTAGAGTGCTAGCCTTTGAGCAAAAGAGCTCAGGGACAGTGCTGAGCCCCTGAGTCACAAGCCCCACAACTGACAAGAAAAAAAAATATATATATATATAGATATAAACATATATATATATAAACATATATATATAGCTTAATTGTTTAGCAGTGTGGTGTTAGCTTTTTTTTCTGTTTTCACTGTATTTTGCTGTAAAATCTAGATTAAAAATAATCTGTGAGTGACTCTTTTATATCTAAACATAAGGTATGTCTTTGTACTTCAAGATTTTAATGTGGTTTTTTTTTTGGAGACAGAGTCTTGCTACCATACCCAAGTTGGCCTAAAACTCATGGTTCTCCTGCTTCAGTCTCCAGAGCCCTGATATCACAGGCATGTGCTGTACTCCATGCTCAAAGGTTTAGGATGTTTACCAGACTATATTTTAGAAAGTATCAGGAGAGTAAGGTTGTTAATGAGAACATCATTTCTTCTTTCAGCAGGGTTGAATGCCTGCCTGTTCCTTCAGGCACGACCATGGAGAAAAGTGGGAACATACAATTGGAGATCCCTGACTTCAGCAACTCTGTCCTGAGCCATCTAAACCAGCTGCGCATGCAGGGCCGCCTCTGTGATATTGTGGTCAATGTACAAGGACAAGCTTTTCGGGCTCACAAAGTAGTACTGGCTGCCAGCTCCCCCTATTTCCGGGACCACATGTCCTTGAATGAGATGAGTACTGTCTCCATTTCAGTCATCAAGAACCCTACTGTTTTTGAACAGCTCCTTTCTTTCTGTTACACAGGGCGGATATGCCTGCAACTGGCTGATATCATCAGTTACCTAACAGCTGCTAGTTTTCTGCAGATGCAGCATATTATAGATAAATGTACACAAATCCTGGAGGGCATTCATTTCAAAATCAATGTGGCTGAGGTGGAAGCAGAATTAAGCCAAACTAGGACAAAGCATCAAGAGAGACCTCCGGAGTCTCACAGAGTCACACCAAATTTAAACCGCTCACTTAGCCCACGACATAATACCCAAAAGGGAAACCGCCGAGGACAGGTTAGTGCTGTGCTGGATATCAGAGAATTAAGTCCCCCTGAGGAATCTACCAGCCCTCAGATAATTGAGCAGAGTTCTGATGTAGAGAGCCGGGAGCCCATTCTTCGTATCAACCGAGCAGGACAGTGGTATGTGGAGACAGGAGTGGCAGACCGGGGCGGCCCAAGTGATGATGAAGTTAGGGTTCTTGGAGCAGTGCACATCAAGACGGAAAATCTAGAGGAATGGCTTGGGCCTGAGAATCAGCCTTCTGGAGAAGATGGGAGTAGCGCAGAGGAGGTCACAGCCATGGTGATTGACACCACAGGCCACAGCTCCGTAGGACAGGAAAGTTACACCTTAGGGTCTTCAGGAGCCAAGGTGGCTAGGCCAACAAGCAGTGAAGTTGACAGGTAAGTTGCATTGTTCCTCTAACAGCTGCCATGCTGACATCATTACTGATGATCGTCTTTACCTGATCTTAGCCAAAATAAGTGAACATTGGGGAAACTTGAAGTGTGCCCCAAAACTTGCATTCTTTTTTTTTTTTTTTCAGCAAGAAGCTCCTAATCCTGAAGTATTCACTATAGTGTGAGAACTCTGGTAAAGTTAGACGCTCCCAAGAATCAGAATAGCATGTGCAGTCATGCTAACATCAGTGACTGCCAGGGCTTCCTTACGATTCCAGACTGGGAGCTGATCGTCAGCCTGGAGCCACACTGCCCTTCCTTTGGTGTGTTCTTACGCACAGAGGGAGTCTTCTGGGAGTTGCTCCATTTAACTTGGCCACACCTGCAAAATTAGAGGAAATATCCCTATCAGTGATTGTTGTACTCAAATTGGTCATTTACAGGGAAAACCTTTCTGATGTCTTCCAGTGTTCTTTAGTGCTGTCTTTCCTGTTGTCTTTCGTGGGTGGCTGCTGCTTCCACTGTCCTCTTTTTTTCCCCCAGTGCCAGTTGTCCTGTGTGTCTCCCTTTTTTCTTTCTAATAATATTGAGTTTGTTATCATTTTTCTTCTTGGTGAAAATAGGACAAGTTTTAATCTACATCAATTGATAGAAATATTACTAACACATTGGTAATATCGTTTTGTTTCGGGTTTTTTGGTAGTACTGGGAATTACGGCCTTGCACGTGCTAGGCGGGCACTCTACTACTTGAGTCATAACTCCAGTCCCCTCCCTGTTCTTTTCCCTTAAAAAGAGATCGAAGGCTGAGTGACACTGACTCATGCCTGTATTCCTAGCTACTCAGAAGGCTGAGATCCAAGAATAGTGGTTTGAAACCAGCCTGGACAGGAAAGTTTTTGAGAGCTTTATCTCCAATTAACTACCAAAAAAAAAGCTGGAAGTGGAGCTGTGGCTTAAGTTGTACAGTTAGCCTTGAGTTTAAGCCCCAGGATTGACCTTAATGAGAACTAAGAATGGGGGGGGCGGGGGATGTAGTTGTGGAGATGGGAGGTAAGGGATGGAAGGGGAAACAAAGGAGGAGGCAACAATGCTTGATAAGAAATGTACTCTTTACCTTGCTCATGTGATTGTAACCCCTCTGTGCAGTATTTTCACAATAAAAAAAACTTATTAAAAAAAAAGAATGAGAAGTAAAGAAGCTATTACTTCAGTTTACAGGGGATCTTGAGAAACAATTTGTTAACAGATAGCAGTAGTATAAAGTAGCCACTCAGGTGGTCTTGATTTGAATATCCATCAAGTGCCATTTGTTATTAAAATATTCTTGAGCACAGAACTTTTTGACTTCCAGTGTTAATACTGTTAAGCCTCCTGTGTTAAGTACTGTATTGGATGTCGTACCAGGTAAAGGCAAAGATTTTTCATCTCCATGATCTATGTCTAGCCTGAGGCTGGATATAGAGGGAAAGAACAACCAAAAATCCAATCGGTGCACAGAAGGAACCAAATTAGAGACCCCGTTTTCATTTGTTCTTTCACCCTTTTCCCAGAACTTAGGTGGATAGCTTATATTTAGCTGTAGCTATACCTTCTTATATAGGCTATTGCTGTGTCATTTTGTATGTTTTAAAATCTATCAGGATAAACTTTTCTTGCCTTTAAATCAGCCCTTATACTGATTCTGTAAAACACTATTTCCCCATTACTGTTGCTTGGTTTGATCCTCCCACCTTAGTTATAAGATAAAGTGGGGAAACAGCACCATTTTTCAAGTTCTTTGGACTAATAGAAGTTAGTCCCTTTTATGCGCCTTTTCTAACAGATTTAGCCCGTCCGGCAGTGTTGTTCCCATGACTGAGAGACACAGAGCCAGAAGTGAATCTCCTGGGAGAATGGATGAGCCTAAGCAGCCCAGCTCCCAGGTATGTAGTTGTTGAAACTGTTGTATTTGTTGAAGGAATTTCGCTATGTATATGATCAGATATACTAAGAAAGGGAAGCTGTATCAAAAAATACTGTAATATTGGGGTTTGAACACAAAGCCTTGAACTTGCTTGGCAGGTGCTCTACCACTGGAGCCACATTTTTTGTGTTATTTTAGTTACGTATTGAAGAAGGTTTTTTGCCCATGCCAGCCTGGATCATGATCCCATTCTCGCCTACCCTACAGCTAAGATTACCAAGGTGTGCCACATGCCCGGCTAATATTTTGTTCAGCTATCATCAAACTTCAGTGCTCCCAATTTTCACCTCCCAAATAGAATGATTACTTTTCTTCTATACCCATGAACATCCTAGAAGAGTTTCGGAAGTAGAAAAAGAAATATTATGCAACTCTGTTTTCATCATAGAGACCCCTAAATTAACCCCTAAATACTACCTGGAGATGATTTAGGACTTAGACTACATTCTGGTTTTGTGTGTGTGTGTGAGTGTGTGTGTGCGCGTGCGAGACTACATTCTGGTTTTATGTGTGTGAGTGTGTGTGGGTGCGCGCGTGTGTGCACTTGCGCACACGCGCATATGTGCGTATGTACTATGTATATTCGTAGAGTTACTAATTTATATCCAGTATTATATATTTGTAAATTATATATTTTTGCGAATGTGCTATTTTGTGTGCATGTGTCTTTTATTTTTCTGACTCTTTCACATGAAAGGTAAAAATACTTGATTAGCCACGTAGGTTACAATCTTTCTAATTCAACTTTTCCTGCTACTCATCAGCTTTCACTCTCTCAAGCAGGTAAATTTTCTCTATGTAATAATCCATCAAATTATTTTTCTCTTTGTTTTGAATCTGAGATTCCTCGTTCTTCCTGGATCTACTCAATGCCTAATTCCTATTTCTGTTTAAGCCAGTGTTCTTTGATCTTCCCTTCTTAAATCATTATAGCAATTATACACAGTGCAATATAATTTTTTCTTTTCCTCCTGGTGTTGGGGATCAATCCATGGCTCACGCTGCTGAGGCAAGCATTCTTCCACTGAATTGAATCACCAGCCTCTCACTTTTCCTAATTTTGCCCTAACTCATCTAAGTTACTCTGTTATTTGTATTCTTTTTTATATTTCCTGTTACATTGAAATCTTGAAAGCAGAGACAATATTTTCTAACCTTATATGTACCTCTGTGTCTTAATGGGAATTTTACTTATAAGTACAAAAATGGTTTAGTTTGTCATTATGCAAATATCATAGAGAATACTTAGACAAAGAGGGCTGCATTTACTAAATACAGACTTATTTCTTGTGAAATCCCCAGTTTGATAGTAAAAACTGAAACCTCCAGTCTTGAAAAGTTTTAACTAAAATTAATACACTAATTAGGATGATTTTTTAAAATTTATGTGGCTGTACTGGGGTTTGAACTCTGAGCCTTGTGCTAAGGAGGCTGAATCTCTACCATTTGAGCTATGCCTCGTGCTGCTAAATAGGATGATTTTTGAAGCCCTTTCAATTTGAGTCTCTGTTAATAATTAAAAATTATAGAGTGAGGAGCCAAGTGCCAGTGGCTCACACCTGTAATCCTAGCTACGCAGGAGTCTTCGATCAGAGGATGGGGATTCCAAGCCAGTCCAAGCAGGAAAGACTCTTATCTCCAGTTAACCACCAGAAAAGTGGAAGTAGCTTTGTGACTCAAAGTGGCCTTGAGTGAAAAAGCTCAGGGACAGCATCCAGGCCCTGAGTTCAACCCCACAACTAACAAGAAAGAAAAATTCAAGGGATGGCTTTGAAGTCCATGTTAAGTATGACCTAGAAAATATGGAACTTATTCATATATATGGAATTTATCCATTATATAGTACTATTTATTAAGTAATAGTTACTAAGCTAAGCACTGATTGAATTCTTGGCATCAATGTGGACTGTGCATCTGTTCCTACAATCTAACAAGAAATTACCACATAAGAGTGAAATAAGGGGCTGGGAAGGTGGTCAGTGGTAGAGTGCTTGCCTTGCATGCATGAGGCACTGGGTTCGATTACTCAGCACCACATAAGCAGAAAAAGCCGGAAGTGGCTGTGGCTCCAGTGGTAGAGTGCTAGCCTTGAGCTGAAGAGCTGAGGGACAGCACCCAGGCCTAGAGTTCAGGCTCCATGACCAGCAAAAAAAAAAAAAGAGTAAAATGATCCACCTTTGGGAACAGAGAAAACCAGGAGACAGCCATTTTTTATTTTTATTTTTTGTAATTTTACTGTAGTAATTTTAAAAATGAGATTGATTGTGTGTGTGTATGTGTGTGTGTGTTTTAATTTTTATTTTTGTTGGTTGTGGGGCCTGAACTCTGGGCCTGGGTGATGTCCCTCAGCTCTTCCCCTCAGGATTAGCGCTCTACCACTGAGCCACCTTCCCAGCCCCTAGTGTGTAATTTTTATGATCATAGTTCATCAGTGATTACTAAAATATGATACTTGCTGCATGTGGACAATATTGGTGTGACAATACTTTCCTTAAAGTTTGGAAATTGTGGGGGGCAGGGGGAGGCTGGGAAGGGGAAACAAAGGAGGAGGCTACAATGCTTGATTAGAAATGTACTCATTATCTTGCCCATCTAATTGTAACCCCTCTGTACAGTATTTTCACAATAAAAAATAAATAAAAATTTTTAAAAAAGTTTGGAAATTGTTTTAGGGAAATATGCCCTCAAAGCCATAGAGAAAACAAATTTGAAGTTGGCCAGTTATTACCAAATGGGGAGGAAACGGCATAAAATATTCACATAGTAGTATGTTATACATATGCATTGTATAATACACACATATATATGTGTGTGTATGATTTTTGTAATGCTTAATACTAATAGCTAATAGTTATTAATCTGAAGTACTTCATTGCGTTAATCATTCAGTATTCAGAGCAATATGAGGATGCTGTTGTTGTATTCAATTTTTAGATGAGAAAATAAAGGGATACAGTAAAAACTTGCCCATGGCTACATAAACAACAGAACTCAGATTTGAATCCAAGTTTCAGCATCTTCATTGCTAGGTAGTAGTATTATGCATTCAATATTTCCAAGTAGGGCTGGGAAGGTAGCTCAGCGGTAGCGTGCATGCCTTGCAAGCATGAGGCCCTGGGTTCGATTCCTCAGCATCACATAAAACAGAAAAAGCCGGAAGTGGCGCTGTGGCTCCAGTGGTAGAGCGCTAGCCTTGAGCTGAAGAGCTGAGGGACAGCGCCCAGACCCAGAGTTCAGGCCCCATGACCAGCAAAAAAAAAAAAAATATTTCCAAGTCGCTGGGTGAATTGGTTCATGAGTAGTTCTCTCAGGTTACACAGACAGCTGCGGCAAAAGGAGAGCTTGAACATAAGGGTTTGAGGCCAGCTGGGCAATGCAATGAGACCCTGCCTCTAAAGAAAAGAAATACCATTTTTAGAAAGTATATTTTTCAAGGACCTGAGCTCCAATAGCCCATGCCTGTAATCCTAGCTACTCATGAGGCTGAGATCTGAGAAACAAGGTTAAGAAGCCAGCCCAGGAAAGAAAGTCTGTCAGACTCTTTTTTTCCAGTTAACTACCAAAAAAGCTGGAAGTAGAGCTATGACCCAAGTGGTAACATCCAGGCCCTGAGTTCAAGCCCCAGGACCAACACTCCCCCCAAAAAATAGAGATAGATAGGTATAATCACATACATGCAGAGAGAGAGAGAGAGAAGTGGCGCTGTGGCTCAAGTGGTAGAGCGCTCGCCTAGAGCTGAAGAGCTGAGGGACAGCGCCCAGGCCTAGAGGTCAAGCCCCACAACCACCACCAACAAAATAATAATAATATTGAATACTTTGGCCTTGGTGACCTAAGATTTTTTTAGTGAGGAAATCCTTCATCCTTTATGTGACTTCTATTTTAATGATACAGGGGAATGACACAAAAGAAGTGTTATATATAAAACCAGTCAGTAATGTCTTAAACCTTAGCCTTACTGTTCAACCCTAAACTTCACATCCTGCTTCCCAAACTTGTTGAGATGCTGATAAACTTTTTTTTTTTGAAATGCTGATAAACACTGCCAGCTAGCATGTGAGAAAGTAGACAAAACACATATTTAGAAATTAAAAGGACACAAAGTAAATTGCTAACTAGATTAATCTTTCTCTAGTTAACTGCAAGTCAGCCTTGATTTCTTTAAATATTTTTATGTATTTATTTATTTTTGCTGGTCCTGAGGCTTGAACTTAGGGCCTGGGCACTGTCCCTGAGCTGCTTTTGCTCAAGACTACCACTCTACCACTTGAGCCACAGCACCACTTCCAAACTTTTCTGTGTTTGTTGTAGTGAGGAATCAAACCCAGGGGTTCATTCATGCAAGGCTAGCATTGTATCATTAAGCCACATTCCCAGCACCTGTAATTTTTTTTCCTATATGTGCTGGTACTGTGGCTTGAATTCAGGGCCTCAGGCTCAGCATTTTCTGCTCGTGGCTAGTGCTCTACTACTTGAACCATGCTTTCAGTTCTAGTTTTTTGCTGGTTAGTTGAAGATAGGGTCTTAAGGATTTGTCTACGCAGGCTCTCTCTGAACTGTGATCCTGAAATCTCAGCCTCATCAGTGAATACTATAGATGTAAGCACCAGAACTTGGCTCATAAATGTCATTTATATTGTACTTGCCATTATCTATTTCGGTAACTATCTGATAGTTGATATAATAGCTATATATCATGTGGCTATTTGAGTTGATACTTTAATTAATTGGAAGTAACTAAAATCTCACTTCCTTAGTTGCATTAGCCATATACAAATGTACAATAACCACATATTGCTGGTAGCTTTCATGTCGACTAGCACAGATTATAGAACATTGCAGTCATCACAAAAAATTCTTTTGGCCCAACACCATCTAAGCACTTCATTATCTGGATTGTAATTATAAGACTAGGATTCAAGGTGTGATTCAGTTGAGTTCAGATTCGCCTTTTCATGTAAAATAATGCAATCAGCATAGATTTAATAAGCATCTGATTTGTTAGCCAGAAATTAAATATTTTGCTCCCATTTTGTGTCAATAGGGTAATGTCTTCAGGTTTTTCTTAAGTTTTAATGTTAATATGGGGTTTTTTTTGTTATTTTCTGTTGGTCTTTCCATTAGAAGTAAGAATATAAAGTCTGGGAATATAGCTCATTGGTGTCAAACTTGGCTAGCACGTGAAAGGCCCTGGATTCCATCCCTAGTATTACATACATACACACATGCTCACATGCGCACACATACACATACACGCGTGCTTACACACATGTAGCTTAGTAACAAGTAAAAGTGGATTCGATTGCTCTTAACGTGTATGTTTAATGATCCAGGTTCATTCTTGCTCATTTTTCAGGTAGAAGAGTCAGCAATGATGGGAGTAAGTGGCTATGTAGAATATCTCCGAGAGCAGGAAGTATCTGAGCGGTGGTTCCGGTACAACCCCCGTCTTACCTGCATCTATTGTGCCAAATCTTTCAACCAAAAAGGGAGTCTGGACCGTCACATGCGCTTACACATGGGGATCACACCATTCGTCTGCCGTATGTGTGGCAAGAAGTACACTAGGAAAGATCAGCTAGAGTATCACATCCGAAAGCACACAGGCAACAAGCCCTTTCACTGTCATGTCTGTGGCAAAAGCTTCCCCTTCCAGGCAATCCTGAATCAGCACTTTCGCAAAAACCACCCTGGCTGTATACCGCTGGAGGGGCCGCACAGCATCTCTCCTGAAACGACTGTCACATCTCGAGGACAAGGTGAAGAAGAGTCACCTTCACAGGAAGAGACAGTTGCTCCTGGGGAAACTGCCCAGGGTTCTGTGTCCACTACTGGGCCAGATTGAAACAGTGAGGGGGAAGGGGCAGACCCTCTTCCCCTTGGGCTGTGAGCAGCCCATATCAGGGCCATGGACTCGTACTTAGATTCACAAAATGCCACATCATGAGACCAGAAGATTGCTTCCAAGATGTTGCCAAACTAGAGGATCAGCAGTACACAAAAGCACTAAAAGCTCTACCCCGCCTCATTCCCACATCACACTTTGGAAAATAATTGAGCAAATCAACTTTCTAATTCAGGGATCAACAGCCTTGGTTTGTTAACTTTATAAGAAAAAAATACCTTTTTTAAACAAAACTGATCAATGATCATTTATTTACCCTTCATGTTTGAACACTGTACTTCGATCCATATCATCTTGGTGGCTGTTACTGCCCAGATCTTTAAAAAAAAAAAAAAAAAATGGAACAGGAGCCTTGGCCATCTAAAGCAACCAACAATGAGAAAGAGAAGGTAGTCGTGATAGTGAGGAGGAATGCCTCCTTTTCCCTTCCCTGCCAGACTTGCATCTTCACATTTCAGAAGAACAAAGTGAATGAAGATTGGTGGTTCTTACTGTTCTGAAAGGTTAGACATTATCTTTGCCCTAACTAGGCATCTAATACTTTGCCTGATTGCTTCACGTCATAAGCCATCTTGGAGCAGTATTCTAATGGGCAGCATCACCGGAAGCACTTTAGGCATGTAGAAGTGAAATGGAGCAGCAAGGTATTTGCAGTAGGTACTGCTACATTTGGGGGCTTGATTGTTGTGCTAAGGGAAAGAGGAGCAGAAAAAGGAACTGGTTTTTATGTTGAATACAGAGTAGCACAGAGCCTATTGCAACTGCCTGACTGCTATTTATGAAGTTATATCTATATGCATCCTTGAGTTTCAAGGGAATGGCTCTAGTCCAGAGTGAATTAACCTGTTAGGCTGACTACCAAAGTTTCATCCAGCCTCCTGTGGCTCCTAGTTTCACATAACAGCAATATTGCACATCAGAAACGTCACTTTTCAGTGAAATAAGCCTGGATTACATTTTTAAATCCACTGGTCTCCATATTTGATAACTTTTATATGAAGTTTGAAACACATTTTTTCTGCAATATCATAGTTAAAGAATTCAAACTCTTCTTACTGCAACCACAGTTTCATTTCTTTCTATGTTAGTTTATATTTTTAGTCCAATGAAGAACCTCACTTAAGTCTATGTCTCGGGTCTACAAACATGAGAATTCATAAACCAGCCATCAGCAAATTGATGGTGACTCCAAGAGCTTTGTTTTTTTTTTTTTAAATAATACACTACAGGGCACTTATCAGAAGACATCATGCACAACTGTGTTGCAATAAATGATCACGGGATCAATTTTGATCAGGTTTGGTTACTTAATCATTCCTAAGATTTTTAAAACTTCAAGGGACCTTTTTTAGTAATTCTGAGTTTCTCTGAGATTCTTATTCCAGCACTAAGAGAAAGAACTTACCAAACATGCACAGCTTTAGATGCTGTGTCTTGCATGCAGGGAGGAGGAGGAATAATGAGGATTACAGGCAGACGGTTGCCTGCATCCTCCAGTGCAAATAGAAGAGAGAAAACAAATCTCTATCTTCTCTTGATTGATTTTGTGTAATACTTAAATATTTAATGGCTTATGGGATTGTTTTGGTATGGAGGCATAGATGATTGTAAAAGAGGTTTGGGAGGGGGCTAGTCATCCCTGCTCTGGTGAGCCACTTGTGAGAATGTTAGTCTGTGTGCTTCTTTCTTGAGAATGCTTTGTGATATGAGGAAAGATAGCTAGGACAGAATGACACTTTAGTGTTAAATTAGAATGCAAAGGGTAGCTTTAAGCAATCTGAGAATTGTGTGTGTGTGTGTGTGTGTGTGTATATATACACACACACACACATACACACACACAGCTGCACTCTTATCACTAAAGAAAAGTTCTCTTCTGGTCAAGTATAGAAATGCATCTTTTGGAGGAATGTAATGCTACCATTTGATAAGAGCCTATTCTTAACTGTAGCTTTGAAGCTGTATTCTGTCATTAGGAGGCATGGACTGGGCTTCCTGCTGTGAGTTGCATAACAGCATGACTGGATGAAAACTGTCTCCTTGATTTATCTTAGGAATTGGCTGTGCTTTGTGACATAGAAAAAAGTAGAGTTGAAATTTGACTGAAATGCTTAAGGAAACTTCAGTGGGGAATCAAGGCTTTCAGTGAACAGACTTTGCCATTACCAAATAGGCAAGGAGCTGAGAAGTACAGAAGATGATTCTTTAGATGGAGCTCTTAAGCCTACCTAAAAAAATTTAAGTCCACTCTTCTTTTGACATGTATGCTTGTCACAGCAGTCTTCATTGTTTTGTTAGTGTCTTAGATTACATAGGAGAAAATAGAGCTTTTTAAACTATTACCAAGCTGTAATGGCGAAGTGCAGTAATTTTTATAAAGAGAAACTTTGCAGCATTTATCAACACTCCATCCAGGCTAAGTGACAGACATCTTCCATGAAGTAGGGACTGTCCGGTTTATGTGGAAATCTTACGCCTGTTTGGTGGGTTCCCTTCCCTCTGCATTCACCTGTAATTGGTTTGTACTGTATTGATACTGTGAATAGGTGCTTCCGTCATCTAGGACCCCACATCCTGTTGGCTGGTTCTGTCCTCTCAATTGGCCTAGCCGGAGTCATGAAATTCATGAAAGTACAAGCCAGGCTATATTTTCAACCAAGTTTCTGAACTAATTTCCCTGTTTTAGTTACAGGAGATTATTATTCTAAGAGGCTATCCAGGATTCTTATCCAAGTTCACTGTGACATTGTTCTAGTTCTTAGCTAACATCACTGTAGGGTCAAAGGAGTTTGTAATGTTCTATGTACATCATATTGGTATGTGTACATGGAGAATACCTCTGAAGGATATACTAAATAGACTCGAACGGATGCAGAAAATTCCTTACTAGACCTTAACTTGTACGTGTCACCTGGTGAGGGGAACTGCATTAGCAGTGAGGGCTAGGTCATCATTACCTTAATGACATGAAATTGCTAACACTGGAGCTGTATTGAGTCACACATAATAGCAGAGCTATCCAGTATGCTCTACAAAAGAAGAGAGATGGCAACCTATTAATCTCTTATTATTCTAAATATACCTTTATTCACTCTGAATTGTGATACCAGTATAAAAATACAGCGTTAATATGACAGTGCACTGTACTTAGGCAGACAGACTCTTTCTAGTGACTTACTCTCTTTTTACCAGAACCATATTCACCTCTGGATTGAGTTGATTTTTGTGTGTATGCATAAGTTGCAAGTTACCCCCATAACACCTTATTGTACTAAAGAGTTTAATCTTGACTACATGAAAATGAGTTCATTTATAAAGAATAGAGATTGGAAAAAAGAGAGCAATTAAGGAAAGTTTTCTTATGGTTTTTTCTTTTTCTTTTTCTTCTTAATGCAAGTTTCCAGTTTCTTGTACGTCTGCCACCAAAATAGGGCTTTCCACGTCATGTCTACTACTCCAGTTACACAATCTGAAGTCTGGCTTTGGTTTGGAAGTTGTTTGGTAGAAGAGTAAAATCCAGAATTTCATTCTTGTTTTTGTTTTGTTTTGTTTGTGCCTGTACTGGAGCTTGAACTCAGGGCCTTGTGCTCTTACTTAGCTTTTTTGCTCAAGGATGGTACCCTACCACTTGAGCCACACACTTCTACTTCCCAAACCTTCATTTTTAATAGCTGAGTATTCTCTAGTCAGAGATAAATTTCACATTTTTAGCTGTTACTTGACACTAATTGTTTTTCATTTAACTGGTAAAAACTATGTTTCTGATTAGATCTAATTCAAAGAAATGAAAGTAATGAATAATGGAAAGGAAATTGAATTGAGCTAAGATAGCAGTCATTTGAGTCACAGTGTAAAGTCACAAAAATGCTGAAAACCTTTGAATTTTCCTTTGTTCAGATAAAAAAAGCATGTTTTTTTTTCTCTTCCTCATATATTCTTCCCTTTATCTGTATACTTATTTGTTGAAAGAATTAGTCTTTGAAAATGTATCTCTTATGCCACATGGGAGTTTAAAAATTGAAATATTTTGATAGGTGAGATTTTAAAAAAGGGACAACAAATTGTCAGGTAAATTACAGTTTTAAAAATTCTCTCTTACCAAAGTATGTTCTTAAGGCTTATGAGTTAGATCAGAGTTCAGCAAACCATAGCCCCTAAGTCAAATCTAAAGGCCACCGCAAGTATATACATATGCATATACATATACATGTGTATACATATATATATATGTATATATACGTATATATCTGTATATATATGTATATATGTGTGCATGTGTGTATATATATATAGAAACACCTATTAGTTTAGGTGTGTTTTGTTTGGGGCTTTTGGGGATAGGGTTGGTGCTGGCGATTGAACCCATGTGCTTAAGCATATTAGGCAAGTACTCTACCACTGAGTACATTATAGCCCTCATTTAGGTACTGTTTATGGTTTCTTTGTACTCTAATGATAAAGTTGAGTTCATGCCCTGCAGAGCTTGAAAATGTATTTACTGTTGAAATTTCTTAGAAAAAGTTTTACATCTTCTAGATTAAATTTGGAGGATTTACCTCTCAACTTGTTACTCCTGGTATTTAGCCTTTATAATAGTTAGGTTAAGGTTTTTAATTCATACTTTCATACATGAATCACTGCCTTGAAAGAAGTTGCCACCGTTTTCTTAGATCCTTCTAAACTTTATTTTTTCTTTTTTTTTTTTTTTTTTTTTTTTTTTTTTTAATTTAATTTTATTTTATTTGAGAACATACTGTACAGAGGGGTTACAATTACATGGGCAGGATAATGCATGCATTTCTTACCAAGCATTGCAGCCTCCTCCTTTGTTTACCCTTCACCTCCCTTCCCAGCCTCCCCCCTCCCTCCCACCCAATCATACCCCCCCCTCCCCCCCCCCCCCCCCGCTTTATTTTTTCTTTTTTCACGATTTCCATTGCTTAAAGGGAATTTAGAATGGGCATTTCATTTGTCTTTGCCTTAGAGGTACAAATAGGTTAAGGTTTAGGATGGTAGTTGTCTGTAATGAGATAATTCTTACAAGTAATTCTCATGAATAATAATGTAAATTAAATTGGCATCCTGTTTACATAGAATAATGGTTAAAATTATTTTTGTTTTGTTTTGTTTAATTTGCAGAACTGGGAATTGAACTCAGAGCCTCAGGTTTGGTAGGCAAACACTCTACCACTTGAGCTATACTCCAGCCCAAATTCACATTTTTTAAGTAAATTTCACTACGCCTTTGAGCCACCTTGAACTGGTTTGCACAGTGATACCAAGAATGATTTTATTCCCACTTGGAAACAGAAACTTAGAAAAAGTATTTCTGTTATGAATAGGTATCATGATTCTTATCCAAAATACTGTGTTTTTCTAGATTAGAAACTTACACTTTTTCCTTGTAATATAAATCTTCATTTCAATTTCCTCAAGTAAATTCATTCTCTTCACATGTGAAATCTTCCTTTTGTCTTCTGGATGTTTTCAAACATAATGAAATACATGAAGATTTCACGATCTTCTTAGATTTATCTTTCCATCTCTTATTATCTATAATTCGTCTAAATATATATTGGACCATTACTTATTTTCTTTGTGACTGTTCACTCTTAGTGTTCAAATAGCTTATAACAGATGTGGAAGAAAATGGAAACTGTGAGGGTGTTAATAGAAACTCTTGCAGTAGGAGAATATCATTCTCCCTATTTGGAAATAACAAATGTGTTTCCAGGTTACATTTACTGGAAAAAAATTTTCTAGGTCATGCTGATTTTTTTTTCTGTTGTTGCAGATCCTATCAACATAGACAAAGTGAGTGAATAACATTTCCCAGGGCACCTCTTCATTCTTAAAATTACTTTATAATTGAATATTAGTAAGTTCTATAGGATATAAACTCTGTTTTGTTTCTTCTGAGTTTGAACTTAGGACCTGGGCATTACCCCTGACCATTTGTGCTGCAGGCTAGCACTCTACAACTTGAGCCACAGTTCTACTTCCAGTTTGTTTGGTTTTGTATGTTTGTTTGGTGGTTAATTAGAGATGAAAGTCTCTAGCCCAGGCTGGCTTCAAACTTCAGTCCTCAGATCTCAGCCTCCTGAGTAGCTGGAATTACAGGCCGAGGTGACTAGGCTAGGTGACTAGGATATATACCATAAACAACAGGTAATCCTCATCTAAGAAGTTTCACATTTGCCTATG